ACTGTTGCTACTGACAGGTTTCAGAGTAACAGCCGTGTTAGTCTGTATTCGCAAAAAGAAAAGGAGTACTTGTGGCACCTTAGAGACTAACCAATTTATTTGAGCATGAGCTTTCGTGAGCTACAGCTCACTTCTGAAGTGAGCTGTAGCTCACGAAAGCTCATGCTCAAATAAATTGGTTAGTCTCTAAGGTGCCACAAGTACTCCTTTTCTTTTTGTTGCTACTGAGGATCTCAAACTCAGAGAAACCTTAGTGGAGAGGCAAAGAGTTCTATTGAAAAACTGATGTGAGATGAATAGCTCTTTAGAGGTTCAGGCTTCTCCCACGAACAAATGAGCCAGCCAAGCAGCCTAGCAAAATAAACAAACCTACTCTGCTATTTACATTAGGAGGATAATTGATGCTGAATACTACAGTTGACAGGATGTGATGTAAACAAGTACTGCACAGAAAAAATATTTCACTGCAGTGTTTTCCACAGAAATTGAGATGGGGTGGAGGGGGTGTTCAAAAATACAGGGGGAGGGGTGAGGACTGATGAGAGGTGAGACTGTTAGGGTAAAGGTGGGCTGTATGGCACCATAGTAAACACTGAAAAATGTTTCACAACCATTTTATTAGATTTAACTCATGTTTTTAAATCATCACACAAATTAAAGTTGGCTATGCAAGCCTACTATGAAGCACTATATGTACATCCTTCTTGGTTTCTTGTTGTAATTTTGCACAACTTTGTTAATGAACTTCTCGCATGCAGTGCATTCATTTTTGGTGGCTTATCATGTGTCAGATACTTCCAGTCCTTTATGATATGCTCATGATCGGGCAGAAGGCGACTTCTTTCAGAATACAAAATTATATTCAATGAGGAAAAAGAATGCTCAACTGTAGCTGTTGTGACTGGGAGTAGAAAGAGATGAATTCCTACTTCTTTCATTCCAGGAAACATAGCACAAAATTGGGTTGAACCATTAGTGATGATAAAGAAGAAGTTGAAATCAAATCTACATTGGTTCATCGTATGATATTCCAGTCTGTGTTCAAATGTTCTATTCTGTCCTGATCACATGGCAGCCCCATTGCTGGTAGTGCCCCACTCCACTCAATTCTCAGTGTTTTATAAGACAGGCATCTGTAAAAGCTACATAGAGGTTGATGGAATCCAAAAGTTGTTGTAAGAATCAAGTCAGTGTACTTTACTTTTTCAGCTGTCTTAACAAAAACATTTCTTTTCTTCTTCATTTAAGGAATTCATACAAGTGCCCTAATTAGTCAACTTCTGAACGGAAGTCTTTGCTTTTTCCAGTATGTTTTCAATGGATATCTCTCTGATTGATCCAAGTGTAACTTCCATTGCTGGACAGAGATCTACTATTGTTGTAGCAGATGCCTGGATGGCATTGTTTAATGACACGAGTGGTTTCACCAGTAGACTTACAAGAGAGACTGGAGATTGTGTTCTCTGAACTTAGTAGCAAAAGTAGTCCACCAGCCTCACTACTTAGATCTGTCCCATCTCGATCAATACTTTCCAAAGCCAATAATAATGTTTACAGTAATTTTAAGACAACAGCCAAGGATCGCTCATGAGAAAGCCAGTGGATTTTCCCAGGTTGGACTCATTTGAACTTCTGTCCCAATGTATCGTCTATGTTTTCCAAGTCATTCAGTCCTTTTGGACTCTTTCTGAAAAAGAATGAGAAATACTTGTGGCACCTTACAGACTAACAAATTTATTTGTGCATAAACTTTCATGGGCTAAAACCCACTCATACAGACTAACACGGCTACCACCCTGAAAACTTTCTGGAAAAGAGTATAATGATGACATTAAATTTATATCTTTTGAAATGCCTTTTCAAGATTCTGCAGCTTGTACTAGTGCTAGCTGGAATAGATGGCCCCCTGCAGTGTGTATTGGAGAGATTAGAGTTACACTTTTCTCTGAGCAAAGCTTGTACTCCACTATGTCTTCCAGGGAGGTTTGCAGCTCAATCAAATGCACAAGCAGCCATCTGTTTGGTGTTCAATTGACAAGCATTTAACTCTTCTAAGATGTGGGTTTTAGAGATGCAGCCGATGTGTCTTCTATAACCTGAACATCTAGAAATTCATCTACTGACCTACCACTTATATCAAGATAACATAGGCAGTGACTTAATACTTGACACCCATTTGCATCAGTGCATTCATCAGCCATGTATGCACATTTTCTGAATGCAGTGAGAAATTCTTCACTTTTTCAACTGCTGAGTCACTGTGGCACTGCATGCTTCTAACCAGTCAGTTGAATTTCTTGTAGAAAGATAGTGAGCATTTGCTGGTCTTGGTAGGAAACAGTGTCCAACTTGTGGATTAACAAATGACAATGCACTTAACATTGTCCTCCAGTTTGTAGAGTGTGGTATCTCTTGCTTAAAGAGAAAGTATGATGTGACAGCCATGTTTGTTCACATAAACTGTTGTATCTCCAGCATTCTTAACAGCCTCATTAAGTACTTCTAAAATTGGCTTTGACAATGACACAGCTGCTACGCTGAAACCTGGCTTATAAGGCTTTCTGCATGTCGATGCAGTCCAGAGGACTGGTGTTTTGCAGCCTTTTCACATAGTTTGTCAGCACTGGATTTGCTGATCAGTCTGGCAAACCAAGCTCCTCCACTTTTACTATATAAATCCATGGTATGCTCACATCTTGAATATTGTGCAGTCCTAATTGCCTCATCTCAAAAAAAAAAATAGTGGAGTTGGAAAAGGTACAGAGAAGGGCAATTAAAATGATTAGGTGTATGGAAGAGCTTCCATATTAGGAAAGATTAAAAAGACTGGGGGACTTTCCGGCTTGGACAAGAGACTACTATGTGGGGGATATAAAATCTTGACTGGTGTGGAGAAAGTGAAAAGCTCCCTCACATAACACAAGAATTAGGGGTCTCCCAATGACATTAATAGGCAGCAGGTTTAAAACAAACAAAAGGAAGTACTTTTTCATACAACATACAGTCAACCTGTGGAACTTTTTGCCAGGGGCTGTTGTAAAGGCCAAAACTAAAGAAGGATTCAAAAAAGAACTAGATAAGTTCATGGAAGGTATGTCTATCAATGTCTATTAGCCAGGATGGGCAGGGATGCAACACCATGCTCTGAGAGCATCTGTTTGCCCGAAGCTGGGAGTAGACGACAGGGGATGGATCACTCAATAATTGCCCTGTTCTGTTAATTCCTTTTGAAGCATGTGGCACTGGCCACTCTTGGAAGACAGGTTTCAGAGTAACAGCTGTGTTAGTCTGTATTTGCAAAAAGAAAAGGAGTACTTGTGGCACCTTAGAGACTAACCAATTTATTTGAGCATAAGCTTTCATGAGCTGTAGCTCACGAAAGCTTATGCTCAAATAAGTTGGTTAGTCTCTAAGGTGCCACAAGTACTCCTTTTCTTGTTGGAAGACAGAATACTGGGCTAGATGGACCATTGGTCTGACCCAATATGGCCATTCTTATATTCTTATGTAAAATTAATTATAATATAATAAAAATGTTTAGTACAGAAATTCCCAACACCAGCCAAAATTGATCACTTGGGCAACACAACTCTTCCTGGTGGATACCTAGGAAAGGTAGGTGAGTTCATGGAACTACAATCTGGTCCTGAAGCCTTCCCCCCACCCTGGCTCATCATTAGCTGTCAGGGGAGAGTTCATTCAGACCTTGCTTACAAATCATAATTTTAAATGATAAGGTTGGCCAATTTGCCGAAACCAAGGCGCCAACATTGTCAGAAAAAACAACAGCTATGTGAGGAAGCTAGTCTTTCTTCATACTTTTCAAACCTATTATACTTTTTCAGGTACGAGTATTTTATCATATGTTGTATAGGCTTTTAAAGTGTATATTAATGTTTCAATTTCAATTCAAATTTCCAACCAATGACAAAATTGGCGACATTGTTGTAACTAGTTGATCACTGGGGGGCTGTGGGGGGGTATAGGGAAGGCCCAGTTTCACTGAGTTAAGTCTTCTGCTGCAGCACCTCAGTAGGTTACATCAAAGAGGAGCTGCAGTGACTAGGCATTCAGTTGCCTGTGCCTTTAAGAACCCAGCCCTAGGAAACCCATGTTGAGAGGTACTGTCTGTGGGAGGGGAACTAAAAAAGCCCCTCTGCTTCCCCTACCCTATTTTTTGCCAAACACTGGTGTCTCAGTCCACTGGGGTAACTGTTACCCCCTCTGCCGGGGTTTTGCCCTCTGACATCCCCTGGCAGCGCCTCACCCTGGGGCTTAACTCCATCTCCTTTCCTCCCTCACCCCTTATTTTGCCTTCAGTTCCTATCCTAACCCTGCTTCCAGCTGCTTGACACCCCCCCCCAGTCAATTTTCACCACTTGCTCAGACCTTGGCCACCCCCCTCCTCTGATTTGCCCCCTTTGCAAGCCCTGTAAAAAGCAGTCAGCAGAATCTTACGGCTAACAAGGGCAGGGTGAAGAGTAGTGGCTTCAGCAGATGTTTCTGAGCATGTTCAATTTGTGTGACGTGCAAAAAAGCCCCTCTGCTCCACACACCTATTTTTTTAAAAAAACAAACACTGGTGTCTCACTCCAGAAGGGGAGCTGTTACCCCCTCTGCCCCTCCTTGTGCTGGGGTTTTACCCTCTGGCAGCGCCTCACCCCAGGGTTTAACTCCGTCTTCTTCCCCCCCCCCATCCCTGATTTTGCCTTCAGCCACTATCCTAACCCTACTTCCAGCTACTCGAGCCCCCCCAACCGGTCAATTTCCGCCCCCTGTTCAGTCGCTGTCGCCCCCCTCCGATTTGCCCCCTTTGCAAGCCCTGTAAAAAGCAGTCCGCAGACTCTTAGGGCTAACAAGGGCAGGGAGAAGGGCGGCGGCGCCTCCCGTGGAGCCCGCTCTGTAAACCACAGGCGGCACATGGCCACCAGGGGGAGTTTCCCCGCCGCGGCGCTCGCGCCAAATTTGAATTTTTATTTTTCCCTTTCCTGAGCCGGCGGCCGTGCTGATGGAGGCGGTGCCGGAGCTGGAGCTGCGGACGCCTGTGCAAGGACAGAAGACAGCGGAAAGGCCGGGCCCGGACTCCGGTTATGACTCCAGCATCCGCTGGCATCCGCAGCGCCGGCAGGACTCGCCCGAGGCTGTGGTGGGAAAGTTCTCGCTCTCCGGAGCCGAGTGCGATTCCGGCCCCAGTAGCCCCGCAGCCGCCGCCTTGGATGCGGAGGGACGCGCGGACACCTCCGGCTGCAGCCTCCTGGCGAAGGCCGAGCCGCCTGCGAGCGGCAGCTGCTCCCCGCTCGGCGATGGCGACGGGCGGCTCCCCCGGGGCAGCGACGGGCAAGGAGGGACTCCGAGCCCCCAGCGCCTGCCGCTGAAGCGCCGTTGTGGTGAGAGGAGAGGGAAGGCAGCAGGGCAGCTCCGTGGGGTCACTTTCCAGCCGCCCCGCTCCTGGTGCTGGCGGGCCTGTGGGCGGGTGTCCCGCCTGGGGAGGGCAGGGGGATCCCTCCAGGGTCCCCCTCCAGGACCGTCCCAGGCAGGGCCAGCTCCAGGATTTTTGCTGCCCCATGCAAAACAATTTTTGGATGCCCCTATTTTTTTTTCGTGCCCCCCCCCCCCCCCAGCTCCTTCCCCAATCCCCAGCCCTACCGCCTCCTCCCCTGGGCCTGCCGCATTCTTTCCCCATGGCTTCCAGCGGCTCCTCAACTTCTCCTCCCTCCCAGGCTTCCGGCGCCAAAGGGGCAAGCCTGGGAGGGAGGAGAAGAGGCGTGGCGGGGGGGTGCTCAGGGGAGCAGGCGGAGGCGAACTGGGGGCACATTTCTAGGGGCGGCATAGCCAGCACCGGAATGCCGCCCCTAGAAATGTGCAGCCCCAAGCACCTGCTTGTTTTGCTGGTGCCTAGAGCTGGCCCTGGTCCCAGGTTAAATGGCTGGGAGTTCAGTAGCTTTAAAAAATCTAGTTCTAGGAGGAGCTACCCCTTGAAATGCCTTTAAATCTTTTCTACTTCAAACAAGGGGTTTTTTTGCTCCTGGCTTGGAGCCTACTGCACTATGGGTACAACTACACAGCAACGCCACCCCCACCCCTCAGCAGCTACTCTCAGAGCTCCGGTCAACTGACTCAAGCTTGCTCAGCTCACACTCTGGGGCTAGATTCTTGGCTCCCAGACCCTCCCCACTTGCTGGGTTTCAGCCTGAGCCCAAATGTCTACACTGCTATTTTTAGCCCCACAGGACAAGCCCCAGTCAGTTGACCCAGGCTCTTAGCCTTGCTGCCATGGATTTTTTTTTTTTTTTATTTTTTGCTGTGTAGATTTACCCACACAGACCTTCTGACTCAGGTTCATGGCTTGACCTGTATCCCCACTGCAAAATGACAGGGCCTGAACCCAAGTCATAGTGGGACTTGGGCTACAAATCACCCCCTGGGCAAGTCCTAGGACTCAGGTCCTGAGTGCTTGCTGTGGTGAGTCAGACAGGTGTGTGTATAGATGGTAGGGAGGTTTGGGTTCAAATCTGAGTTTGCACTCTGGTTTACAGTGGAATGTGTGTGTGTGTGTGTATGTATGTGTGTGTATATATACACACACACACACACTAACTCCTCGCTTGTAGTTATGTTCCTGAAAAATACGACTTGAAGCAAAACGAAGTTAAGCAAATCCAATTTCCCCATAAGAATTAATGTAAATAGGGGGGTTAGGTTCCAGGGAAATTTTTTTCACCAGACAAAAAACTATATTATATATATCACACACACAGTATAAGTTTTAAACAATTTAATACTGTACACAGCAATGATGATTGTGAAGCTTGGATAAGGTAGTTAAGTTAGAGGGTAGGATATTTCCCAGGGAATGTCTTACTGCTAAACGATGAACTAGCACTCGGCTGAGCCCTCAAGGGTTAAAACGTTGTTAATGTAGCCTCACACTCTACAAGGGGGCACGAATGGAGGGAGGGGATACAGTATGGCAGACAGAGACACACACCCTGTCTGTAAAAAGAAAAGAAGGACTTGTGGCACCTTAGAGACTAACCAATTTATTTGAGCATGAGCTTTCGTGAGCTACAGCTCACTTCATCAGATGTATACCATGGAAACTGCAGCAGACTTTATATACACACAGAGAATATGAAACAATACCTCCTCCCACCCCACTGTCCTGCTGGTAATAGCTTATCTAAAGTGATCATCTGTGTGAAAGAGAGACGCATTGCCCCGTTAAGTATTCTGACACCATTCTAAGTACCTTGCCTTTAAAACGATCAGGAAGTTGAGACAGCAGCTGCCGCCTCCAAGCTTCCCCTGTCCTGTCCCCATCCTGCTCTATATGGAGAAGGCGTAAGCAGGGGGCAGAAGTAGGGGGGAGGGGGACATCCTGACATTAATCTCCCTCCTCCCCCCTCCCTTGCACAGCAAGCAGGAGGCTCTGGAGAGCAGCTCCAAGGAAGAGGACAGGAGCAGCACATGGCAGTGGTGGGAGGGACAACTGAACTGCCAGCAATTGATAGCCTGCTGGGCAGCTGCTGCACAGCGAAATTAGGGGAGTGGGGAGCTGATAGGGGGGCTGCCAGTCCACCCTGGTTCCAAGCCCCCACCAGCTAGCTCCAACAGGCTGCTCTTTCTTCAAGTAGTGGACAAAGCAGGCAGCTGCCAAACAACGTCTTAAGGGAGCATTGCACAACTTTAAATGAGCATGTTCCCTAATTGATCAGCAACGAAACAACATTAACTGGGATGACTTTAATTGAGGGGTTACTCTGTGTGTGTGTGGTCCCATCAGCAAGGGAGAAACAGACTTTCAAAGGAGATATGTACAAAGTTATTGCAAATGCACAAAAAATCTGAAAAAATAGGGTTTTTTCTTCTAATCTCTTAATTCTAGTAATTCTAATAGACAAAATAATTCAGAGATGTATGAAACTCCAGTCCTGTAAATTGTTCCATGCAAGCATGGAACTTGGACAACTAGTAACTAATAGCTCAGTGGTTCTCAAACTTTTGTATTGGTGACTTCTTTCACACAACAAGCCTTTGAGTGTGACCACCCCCTTATATATTAAAAACACATTTTTTATATTTAACAGTTAAAAATGCTGCAGGCGAAACAAGGTTTGGGGGTGGAGGCTGACAGCTCATGACCCTCACATAATAACCTCACGACCCCCAGTTTGAGAACCCCTGTAATAGCTGAATCTGCTTTTTAACTTTTTGAAATGACTAGATTTCAACTAATGGTGTCCCTTTTTAAACAACAAAAAGACTGGTTTAGTGTTTCAGTCTGGGAATTTATCCTTACAAGGCCCATGTTCTGTACCTGGCTCTGCCACTGACTGTGAGGCCTTGTCTATACTGCAAATGCTTTGCCAATATAACTGTTCTGGTATAGACTGGCAGAGCCTGCTAGTATAGATGCAGGATATGCCAAAAGAAGATTTTTTTTGTCACTACCATAGTGGCACCTCCCTGCATGATGTTAGCTCTCTTCTGTCAACACAGCTGGGTCTATGATGGGGGTTTTGCTGGCACAGTTGTGTCTGCTGGGGAGGAGGATTCACATCCCTGACCTCATAGCTAGGCTGACAAAACCTTATAGTGTAGGCCTGACCTCATGATAGTGATCTTGGGAAAGTGACTATGGGTATGTCAAGGCTATGTCTACACTGCAGTCAGGAGATGTGATTGCAGCGCTTCTTACACAAGCTAGCTTTGATCTAGCTACAATGCAATAGCAAGGCAACTCAAAGCCAAGCAGTCTCTGATCTGGATGAGTGATACGGAAGAAGTTTCTTACAGAGGGAGCAGCTTGTTCCCATTCTGCACATTGCAGCATGTATCATCTGCCATGCAGATGGTTGGTAACATAGTGCAGATTGGTCTTCTGCTGATGTGTTGTTGCGAGGCACCTCCCATATATTTAAATCTCCATATCTCTGTTTACCAATATTTGCTTCACAAGGATGTTGTAGGCCTTACAGAGATACTGCCAACCTGAAACTTAGTTTCAAAAAAAAAAAAAAAAAAAAGACTTTAAAAGTAGTTCCTGGTCCCACACTTAATTTTGAGTCCCCATGATACTGTATCTAACTTTACCGTTATAGTTTTCTGTTTTTAAAATGTTTTCTTTTCTCTTGCTATCTGAAAGTAACACAGAGACTGACTGACAATGAAGAGTGCTATCACATAAATAAAATATATTGAAAAATAGAAGTAACTAATTTTTTCTTTAATTTTTCACTTATCATCATCATTGGGATTACTTGTTACAATGTTCAGACAATGTCACTGTTTAAAGTAGATGTAGTCATTTTAATTCCTTAAGTGCTCTGAGAACCTCCAAGGGAAAGTAATGTAAAAAGACAAGGCATTCATAAGCATTATATTCAGAATAATAAGACTTGGTGCTGACTCTTCTGATTTCAGGTGAGTACTCCAACATCCTCTGGAAAGTAATAGCTGGTGTACAGACTGTGGTTATTTTGGTGTTGCTTCTGACAGGTAAGGGCTTTAGAATAAGGGGAGAACATCTCCTTGGACATTTTCATCTTCTGGCTTGTTTCTAGAACTGTGAGAGTGAAACTAATGCAAATGCCCACAATATGAAGAAGGCTTAGATTCTCCCTTGCATCCCTGGCCAAAACTCCTGATGGTACATTAAGTAATATATAGCACTTGCATGACACTTCCTGGTTATCGGATACACATTTAAAATCTGAACACCTATCTCAGGTTAAGTATCGGTATTTCCATTTTATTTAAGCTTCCCAACCTTAGTTTGTTCCACCCCATACTCCATTCACTAAACAATGTTGATTTTTGAGACCGCTAAATTCTTACTGTAGCAGCTCCCTGTTAATTTGTATTGTGTGCTCACTCTTAGGAGAGTTCAAATTTGGCATTTTCTTTTCTTTTGTATACTCCTTTCTAAACAGAAGAATTCAAATTGGTTTATCAGTTCATGATCCAAAATACTTAAAGCATTCTAGTTCCAACTTGAATTACTATATTTTCTTTCTCTGAAATTCCCCTCAGCAGCTTAATTGGATTCAGTAGTCGTTTTATCCCCTCAAACTGTTTTATAGTGTTCTGTGTGCAGCTAACCAGAAAGGATTGAAAACTACAAAGTTACAAGGACTGGTAACTGATATCAAATCCTGAATCAATGCCTAGAAAACAATCAAGTCACAGTTCTGAGGTCTGATACCTTAGAAAACCAGCAGGACTAGAGAGTTCTGCTATGTATTTTTGGGTAGTGCCCATTATTAGCAAATGCACAAGTGGTACAATAAAGATGGGAAAAGGTTCAAAATATAAAGCAGAGAAATAAAACAGAAATGTATAAATAAAAAAGTCAAAAGAGCTAGGTAGATATGACACATATTTTAGCCATTCGATAGCTTCAGGGTCAGCAGTATGGAGTATGAAAAGGTCTCCTGGTAGACCAGCAGAAGATGAGCAGCCATTCAGTAGATGTATGGTGTCTCCAGGTGCACGTCAGCTACACAGATGGCTGTTCCTGAGTCCCGAGGTGTGGTCATTTCCTGCACTTCACCCTGCATCTGAACTGGTTGAGCTTGCCCCAGAGATAGCATGGCAGCTCAAAGCCAGGCAGTCTCTGATCTGCATGAGTGATGTAGAAGGAGTTTCTTACAAAGGGAGCAACTTGTTCCCATTCTGCTCACCACAGTGTGATCGCATCTGTTGTGGAGATGGTTGGTAATGTAGTACAAGATTGGTCTTCTGCTGATGAGTTGTGGCGAGGTGCCTTGTACATATCTTTGAAAAGTGGCAATTGTGGTGTCAGGTTTTTTGCTGCAATATAATGCTTGAATTAGGTGATGAGATATTTGAAAGGACTGGCAGCCGCTCTGTGCTGGTTGGTCTCATAGCCCTTGTTGTTCTCATTGTCTGATTCAATTGCACATCAACTAGCGTTGTGCTTTGGTGTGGTTAAGCTCTCCCTGCACAATACTATATTCTCCAACTGAGTAGCAGAGAGCTACATCACTACTATATAAACAGCATATGCCAATGGAAAGCTGGAAACAAATGTTGTGTGCCATCATGGTAGATACAAGCCTTTAAATCACACAATTCATTAATATCATCCCTTTTCTTCCTAGTTCTCAATTCTGAACTGATTTTGGTAGCTGCTGTGTCAAATTATTGGAGCTCGTAACCAAAGCTTTATGCTACATGAAAGCAACTGGGAATTGCAGTGGGAGTATGTGGCGGTTCAATGACAAGACAGGACACAGCTTTTAGCAAGCAAGCAGGCTGGTCTACTAACCGACTTTTGCCTGTCAGCTTTCCACCTTCCCCTTTATTTTCTCTCTCCCCCCACGCATTACATTCTCCAACAGATAAAAGGAATACACTGGCTTTGTTTAACATTCTTATTTACCAATTTCTATCTACCGCATTCCTTGCTCTCGGGCCTTGAGCCCAGTCCTGGGAGGCATCCCACGGTTCATGCCATCTGGGCGAGATTCCAAGGTTGATGCCCTTGAGAGGAGCTGTGTGTGCACAGGTCCAGTACAACACTCCGGGTGTGCCCTGAATGTTGCCAAGCGCATGAACCTTGTATGAATCCTACAGGAGTACATGGGTATGAGTGAGACTGGAATTTGGTTCCTGTCTCTTGCTTCATTTTCTTCAGTGTATTCACTTTTCTGTCTCATCTGATGCTTTCTTTTGTATCTCTTTGTTTCTTTTCTTTCCCTTTCATTAGCTACTTTCTTTCTGTCTCTCACATTACGTTTTACTCTCCACTCTGCTTCTTCACTTTTTTTTTCCTTCTAGCTTTAGAGGTAAACTGCAAAAGAAAAATAAGGGATATGGGCACTTTATTCCCTGCTGCATTATTATTTATAGAGAAGGACTATGAGATTATTTTTAAATGAAGGGGTTTGTTCTGCTTGGTTTTTTAAATGAAAACTTCAGCTCTTGCCTTCTCGGAAAAACACTGTGAGCTCTATGCATAAGATAAGTTGCCAGAGGAATAACTTTAAAAAATGTTTGTTTGTTTTTTCTGGGTTTTTATATGTCATAAGAAACTAAAGACAACTTCCCCACCCTTTTCTTTGCGTGTCACCTTTAACCAGTTTTTCCTGTCCTTTTTTCCTCCGTTCCTGTCCTTTCTTCCTCACCCATGCTCCCTCCTCCTCCTCTACTCCAAATGTGTTCAGAGGAAAACCAAAAGCTGCTTTCCTTCTCCTTTAGTCTGTGAGGAGACAAGTCAAGACTTAACTGCAGCTCCAGATTGCCAAATGCAGCATTTTGTTCTTTCTGCATCCTGTGTGCAGCACAGAGGGAATGACGGTCACTTCAACTGCCTGCAGAGAGCAGCACTGCTACTAGCTTCAGAAGGAGAAGAGGGAGCACTATGCCACTGACTTGCTGTCTTCTGGCCTTTGGGAAAATGACTTGCTCTTCTGTCTCAATTTCCCCATCTACAAAATGGAGATAATATTTGCCCACCTGCCTAGGGTTGTGAGGATTAATTAATAGCTGTATAGTGCTTTGAACATATAAATCACTATTTATTAAAAAGAAAAGGAGTACTTGTGGCACCTTAGAGACTAACCAATTTATTTGAGCATGAGCTTTCGTGAGCTACAGCTCACTTCATCAGATGTAGTGAGCTGTAGCTCACGAAAGCTCATGCTCAAATAAATTGGTTAGTCTCTAAGGTGCCACAAGTACTCCTTTTCTTTTTGCGAATACAGACTAACACGGCTGTTCCTCTGAAACCTATTTATTTAAAAAAATGCTAAGTATTCTGAAAAATCAGGCACTCTTATTCTGGCATAAGAACATCCACACATGGAGTTAATCAGGAACAGCTATTTTGGAATAACTCCCTGTGAAGACAAGCTCTTATTTGGATTTTTGAAGCTATCACACACTAGTGCTTTACAGCCTATAGAGAGAGGAATCATTTCTCCCACCAGTGAAATGCAGCTATCACTGTAAGTGCTATGTGGCAGCTGTTTAACAATACACAGCAACATTGCAGAAAATTTGGGACAGAAAGTGGGTCTATCTTTTTATGGCTTTCATACCACAGCTTATCACTAGGGTAGCAGAGCCCCTAGTGAAGAACATTGTGCCCTTGTGAAATTGCAAGACACAGGTAGGGTGGTTGCACTAGGTACCTATTCAAATTTAGTTTGTCCAGGACAACGGGCACTCTAGAACTTCAGCTGGAATTTCAATGATATTCAGACTGAGGTTTAGTGATATTCAGGTGTTCTACTCTATCTCAGCAGCCTGTAATATGGCTGAAGAGAAAATAACATGTCTTAGAATGTGACTATGCTGTTTGCCTTATGTCTCCCAGGAACTCTCTCTCCACAGGTCAGGCAGTGTCCAGAAGACTGGATATGTTTTGGAGGGAACTGTTATTATTTTTCCACTGATACAAAGAGCTGGGATGCCAGTAAGGAGTACTGCACCTCACATGGTGCAACACTTCCTGTGATAAAAGAGAAACTGCAACTGGTGAGAATGTGAAACTATTGTACCTGTTTTAACAAACATCCCATTACTGACTTATCTTATGTACCTAATGAAGTCCGTTCTGGAGGTTTCCTGTATTGATTATTTGTACAGCAATATAAATGACTGTGGGAGAATTATAGACAAGACAATGCTGCACCCACAGTCTAAAGGTAAAATATTGCATTATCATCCTCTAGAAATAGAGCAGGTGGGGAATGTTCCAGAAAGTCAAAACAGAAGGTCAGTGTGGTGGCAGGTGAGAGAGAGGATTAATAGGTATTTGGGATGGACCACTTATCTTCACAGTCACTTGTAAAATAGTGGAACAAATATTCAGAGGAGAAAACATGCTATTCTTCCACTACAGGATATGAATAATTCCAGTTGAAATCAATGACTTATGTCTTTTGGGATAATTGGGGCTCAGAGTGGAGCCAATAGTAATGGCATGAACATAAGAAAGTGGAGACTGAATGTTTGGGTATGGGGTATAATAGGATATGAAGTAGTTTTTCCCCAAGGGAAATGATGGCAACCCCATTGCTTCAGAACCTCAAAACTAGAGTTGACAGAATACTAGAAAATGAACTACAGGGAATAGTCCTTCACTGGCCCTTTGGAGATGCAGTAAATGACCTCATAGTGTTTCTGGGATCAGTCAACCAAGAAACTCTGTTATTTAAAGGGTGAGTGCCTGCTGAAAAACTGTTCTTAAATAATCCTTACATGGAAAAGCCCAGTGGCTATCTCCTTCCCATGCATGGGTGATAAAATGACAATCAAAGTTTATAGTGCAGACAAGAGCTAAGTATGGGCAATGGGATGCAAATTTAGGAATAATGGCAGTTGAATAGGGTAAGAGGAATTTGTGGAGATGTGCAGGAAAGAATGGTAGTGAGAGCCCTGGAGCTGGGGCTTTCTGAGGACTTTTAGAATAAAGTGGTGACTATGTGGAAACAATCTCATTAGCCTCTGCTGTTGATGGAAATGACGTTGTTTTTTTTGTGAATTACGGTGGAAGTTAGTTCTATGTTGTGCAAGTCTTCCCCTTCAAAATAGATCTTTTCAATTCCATCTGTGGAGACAATGGCGGCCTTCCAAGATTACATTTATCCCTACGTTTTTATCTACAAGCCCTATAAAATACTGAAAAGAGTAAGGAGGAAGCAAATGGATTTCAATAGAAATCTCCGTGGACACAATATTAGGAACAGGAAGAAATTAATCCCCTGTCTTTTTTAATAAGTAGACTACTTCATTTGAAATACCACTTACTCAAGTCATAATGCCAATAATCAATACTCCTGAATAAGGCTGCGAGTCTTTCACGGAGGTCACAGATTCCATGAATTTCCGGGACCTCCATGGCTTCCACAGTGAACGGTGGGGCTGACCCCTGAGCTGCTGGCCCCGAGCAGCGGCTGGCCTGAGGGACTGCCTGAACAGTGGCCCCAGGGGCCTCGGAGCAGTGGGCGGCTGGTGCCCTCCAGAGCAGCTACAGTAGTCATGGGTATTTATAGTAAAAGTCATGGACAGGTTACAGGCCATTAATTTTTGTTTATTGTCCGTGACCTGTCCATGACTTTTACTAAAAATACCCATGACTAAATCTTAGCCTTACTCATGAACCAAGAGTAGGATTTGTGAGGGAGTGTCATTCCCCCAGGAATCCATAGCAATGAGTGGGGAAAAACAGTTAGTCACCTTTTTTAACTGTTCGAGATATGTTGCTCATAGCCATAGCCATTCCAATTAGGTGTGTGCGCGCTGCGTGCACGGCTGTCAGAAAGTTTTTCACCTAGCAGCATCCGTTAGGTCAGCTGTGGAGCCCCCTGGCGTGGCGCCTCCATGGCGCTCAATATATGACCCTGACGACCTGGCACCTCCTCAGTTCCTTCTTGCCGGCTACTCCAACAGAGGGGAAGGGGGGCAGGTTTGGAATGGATATGAGCAACACATCTTGAAGAACAACAGTTACAAGAGGTGAGTAACCATTTTTTCTTCTTCGAGTGATTGCGCATATCGATTCCAATTAGATGACTCCCAAGCCTTACTTAAGCAGTGGGGTCGGAGTTAAGGAATGCTGATTGTAGTACCACCCTACCGAAAGCCATGTTGTCCCTGGCGTGCTGGACAATGGCGTAGTGCGAGGTGAAGGTATGCACCAAGGACCAAGTTGCTGCCCTGCAGAGTTCTTGGATCGATATTTGGGCCAGGAACGCCGCTGGCGAGGTCTCGGCCCTAGTGGAGTGTGCGGTAAGAGCTGGGGTCAGCACCTCAGCCAGCTCATAGCAAGTGCGGATGCAGGACATGATCCAGGAGGATATTCCTTGAGAGGAGACTAGGAGGCCTTTCATCCGGTCCGCCACTGCTACGAATAGCTGGGTCAATTTTCTGAACGGCTTAGTGCACTCTGTGTAGAAAGCTAGGGCTCTGCGGACATCAAGGGAATGCAGCCGCTGTTCCCGGGGACGAGCATGAGGTTTTGGGGAAAAGACGGGTAGGAAAATGTCCTGGCTGGTGTGAAAGTTCGACACCACCTTGGGGAGGAAGGCTGGGTGCGGTCTGAGTTGCACCTTATTATCCCTGTGGAGACCGTGTAAGGCGGTGCTGAGGTGAGGGCCTTCAGCTTGGAGACATGTCTCGCGGACATAATGGAGACCAAGAAAGATACAGGAGGGAGCACATGGCCAGTGGTTTGAACAGGGGCCCCATGCGCCTTGAAAGGGCCAGGTTAAGATCCTACGCAGGGACAGGCTGACAGATCTGAGGGTATAGATAGTCCAAGCCTTTGAGAAAGCGACCAACCATAGGGTAGGCGAAGACAGAGTGGCCAGATGTGCCCAGGTGGAAGGCTGAGATGGCAGCGAGGTGAACCCTTACAGACGACACTGCCAGGCCTTGCTGTTTCAGGTGCAGGCAGTACTCTAAAATGAGGGGTACCGGTGAGGGTGTGCAGCACTGGTCACACCAACACAAAATATATGATGGCTCTAGTAGAGGGCTTCCTGCTGCCTAGCAGGACCTGCTTTACTTGGTCCAAACACAGAAGCTCCACGAGGTTCAGCCATGCAGTGTCCAAGCTGTGAGGTGGAGGGACCGCAGGTCAGGAAGACATAGGCAAGCATGGTCCTCAGTGAGTAGATCGGGAAGGAGAGGCAACATGACCAGTATGTCCACAGACCGCTCCAGCAGCATGGTGTACTAGTGCTGGCGAGGCCATGCTGGAGCTATCAGAATCCGCTTTGCCCTCTCCCTGTGGATTTTCAGCAGGACTTTGTGCACGAGAGGGAACGGAGGAAAGGTGCAGAGCAGGCAACCTGTCCAGGGTAGCAGGAATGCATCTGTGAGGGAGCCTGGGCTGCAACCCTGGAAGGAGCGGAATGCTGGGCACTTCCTGTTGCATCGGGTGGCAAACAGGTTGACTGGGGAAACCTCCATCTTTGGAAGATGGGGTGTACAACATCCGGTCGGAGAGACCATTCGTGCAAGTGGAAGAATCTGCTGAGGCGGTCCACCAGCGTGTTCTGGATCCCAGGAAGAAAGGACGCTACCAAGTGAATGGAATGGGCTGTGCAGAACTCCCATAGTCAGATGGCTTCCTGGCAGAGGGGGGTCGAACGCCGCCCCCTTGCTTGGTGATGTAAAACATGGCCGTGATGTTGTCCGTTAGAACCGCCATGCAGTGACCATGCAGTTGGGCCTGGAAGGCTTAGCAAGCAAGGTGCACCGCCATTAGCTCCCTGACGTTGATATGGAGGAAGAGCTCAGTCTGTGACCATAGGCCCTGAGTCTGAAGGTTCCCCAGATGTGCTCCCCACCCCATAGCTGACGCATCCGTAACCAGGGACAAGGAAGGCTGGGGGCTGTGGAAGGGGACTCCATCGCACACCGCTCAGGGGTTGAGCTACCAGCGAAGGGAGGTGAACACCTGTCCCGGCACAGTGACCACTGAATTCAAGCTGTTGTGCTCCGGCTGGTAGGCCAAGGTGAGCCATGCCTGCAACGGCCTGAGCCGGAGCTTGGCATGCCGGTTCACGTACGTGCAAGAAGCCATGTGGCCGAGGAGACTCATTCACGCTCTTGCTGTCGAGGTTGGGTTTTGCTGAAGGCCTTGAATGATGCCCGTGATAGCTTGGAAACGGGACTCCGGTAGGAGGGCTCAGGCCTGAACTGCGTCCAGCACCGCCCCAATGAATTCTATCCTCTGGGTCGGTTCCAGGGTCGACTTTTCCACGTTGAGGAGGAGACCCAGCCGTTTGAACGTACACCTGACCAGGCAGAGTTGGGACTGCACCTGTTTTCTGGTGCGGCCCCGAAATAGCCAGTCGTCGAGGTAGGGATACGCTTGCACCTGCTGTTGACGGAGGAAGGCAGCCACGACCGACATGCACTTGGTGAACACTCGGGAGGGGGGAGGGGGGCTGTTGAAAGGCCAAATTGAAGGACCGTAAACTGGTAATGTTCACGGTTGACCAGGAAGCACCTATGCGCCGGATGAATTGATATGTGGAAGTACACATCCTTCATGTCGAGGGCGGCATTTGAGGATCCAGGGAGGGGATAATAGTGCCTCGGGAGACCATGCGGAACTTCAAATTTACCATGAATTTGTTGAGCCCGTGCAAGTCCAGGATGGACCTGAGGCCCCCTTTGGCCTTGGCGATTAGGAAATATTGGGAGTAGAACCCCTGGCCCCTTAGCTCCCACGGAACCTCCCCTACCGCTCCCATGGCGAGGAGTGCCTGACCATCCTGAATAAGGAGTTGCTCGTGAGAGGGGTCCCTGAAGAGGGACAGGGAAGGGGGATGGGAGGGTGCGTAGGAGCAGAATTGAAGAGAGTATCCCGCTTCCACCTTGTGAAGGACCCATTGGTCCAAAGTTATTTGGGACCACGCACGGTGGAAGTGGGATAGACTATTCAAAAATGGTGGGGAAGGATCCGGGGGTAAGTCCGGTACGCCATCCTCGAGCGTCCCTTCAAAAGGCCTGCTTGGAACCCGACGATGGTTTGGTCGGGCCCTGGCCTTGTCCAGACGGGGGTCGGAAGGCTTCCTTCTGCTATTCCGTCCCCTATGCCTGTAAAAGTCCTGCTTTGGTCAAAGAGGGTAGGAGTGCTGTTGCGGCTGCTGGGGCTTGAAGTCCTTCTGTTGGGTTGCCAGGGCGTGCATACCGAGGGACTTCATAGTTGCCCTCAAGTCCTTTAGCGTATGCAGCCTAGAATCAGTCTGTTCCGCCAACAAGCCCACCCCGTCGAAGGGCAGGTCCTGCAGAGTCTGCTGAAAGGACTCTGGCAGCAGGCCCGAGGCTTGCAACCAAGAGGTGCGCCTCATGACAACTCCAGAGGACAAAATATGCGCTGCTGAGTCCGCAGCATCCAGTGAGGACTGCAAAGAGATCTGTACCACCGTTTTGCGTTCATCAACAAGGGCCCCAAACTCCTCCCTGGACTCAAGGGGCACAAGCTCCTTGAACTTGAGCATTGAGTTCCAGGAGTTGAAGTTATAACGGCTCAGGCATGCCTGCTGGTTGGCAATCCTGAGCTGGAGCCCCCCACGTGGAGTCCAGCTTGCGGCCAAACAAGTCCAGCCGCTTGGCCTCTTTCGACTTGGACGCTGGGGCCTGCTGACCCTGCCTCTCTTTCTCATTCATGGCTGCAACCACCAGGAAGCAGGGCTGCGGGTGCATAAAGAGATAATCATACCCCTTCAAGGGCACGAAGTACTTGTGTTTGACCCCCTTGGCCGTAGGGGGGATGGAGGCCAGGGTCTGCCAGATGGTTTTGGCATTGGCCTGAATGGTTTTGATGGGGGGCAGGGCGGACCTTCCGGGGCCAAAATGTCTACCAGCGGATCCTCCAATTCTACCACCTCCTCTGCCTGCAGGCCCATATTGCGCACCACCCTGCGCAGAAGGTCCTGGTGGGCGCAGCTGTCTATGAGGGGTGGCCCAGAGACAGAGGTGCCTGTTACGGCCTCTTCAGGGGAGGATGACAAAGAGGCCAAGGGGGAGGAGAGGGTCATCCCAATCTTTCTGCTCTTTGGGAGCTCAATGCCCTGTGTCGCTGACCACCTCCGGCTCAGGAACCGGAGTTGGAAGTGGTTCCGAGGGGGGAAGGAGGCATGATGCCTCCTCTGCACCCCTAGAGATGGGCCGACTGGTTGAGGCTTCCGGCACCCTCTGTTCAGAGGTGGGCGACCAGGAAGCTGGGTCTGGTGGTATGCCCACGGAATCCAAAATGGCCACTGAGTTGGCCCCTGCTATGGCCCTGCTCCCACATCAGGGCACCCACGGTCCAACCGGCGCCAGTCCTGCTCTGAGTACTGAGACACTCTCTCCAACCCCGAGGAACAGGATTGGGACCGCGAGGACCAGGGCAGCGCCGCAAGGCTGGGGAGCTGTGCCGGGACTGGGAGCTGTTCCGCAAAGGCGACTGGTGTGCGGAGCGGCGCCATGACTGGTAGCATTGATGCAACCGGCGTGCGGAGCGCTGCAGGGACTCCTAGCAGTGCCGAGATCTTGAGTGGTGCTGAGACTCGACCAACAGTGCTGACCGTAGGATCAATGCTGGCTTGCCTCAAGACGGTGCCATATACTGAGGGACTGGAGGCTTGGTGTGGAGCAGAGGAGACCCTGGTGCCGTCATGGCAATGAGGTCCCTCGCGGCCGCAAATGTGTCTGGGGTGGACGGCAGCTCGACATCCACAATGCTCGGGGTTGGGGAGTCCAAGGGCACCAGACTCTACGGCTCCCCTGTGGGGCCGAAGTCGATAATGCCGTGGCCACAGACTGCCCCTGGGCGCTCCTCTCTGGGACATACCACAGTGGCGGGCTCCAGAGGGATGGGTCTCTGGGACGGAGAGCCACTTTTCTCCTGCTTCCAGTGCCGCTTCAGTGCCGGGGAGTGGGAGTGGTGCCAGGTAGATGCCACCGGCTTTGGTGCTGAGAACAGCAGTGCCGCGGGTCTCGGCCAGAGTCCATCCATGGTGCTGCTTCCACTACTGCTGCCGGGGCGCTGCGCACCAAAGAACTTGGTGCTGGATCCTGCCACACCAAAGGAGGCTGGGAGGTGCTTAAGGCGAAAGTCCCACTCCTTTTTGGTCCTAGGATAAAACCCTTTGCAGATCCTGCACTTTTCGGCTTGGTGAGCCTCCCACAGACGCTTCAGACAAGAGTCATGGGGGTCGCCTGTTGGCATGGGCTTGGAGCAGGACTTGCAGGGCTTGAATCCCGGGGACTTGGGCATGAGAGCCCTCTCAAGGAAAAGCAGTCGGGTGGAGGGTAACCCCCAGCCCCGCAACCCAACTGCCACTAACTATATAAGTAAGAAAACAAGAAGAATTACACCTCTACCCCGATATAACGCGACCCGATATAACACAGGTTCGCATACAACGTGGTAAAGCTCCGACATGCTGCTCTGGGCAGTGTGTTAAGGGTGCTGGGCCAGGCCGGGGCCAAGGAGTTGGATAAGGGGCAGAGGGTCTCGGGGGCAGTCAGGGGCTCCCGCGCCCCCAGGGTCTGGGAGACAGGAGCTGTTGGGGGGCACTTTTGGGGGCCCCACAGTCCCAGAGCGGCCGGGGGGATTAGCGGGGGGCCGGGAGCAGCCCACTCCGCTTCCCTCGCCCCAGCCGTGTCGCTCACGGAAGGGGGCTTGGGGGAAGGGATCCCCCCACACCCACCGGCAGTGGCGGAAGCAGCCCAGCCCCAGCCCGCTCCGCTTCCTGCCGCAGGTGAGTGCGAGACCTTTCCCCAACACCCCCCCTTAGCGACACTGCTGGGGCCGGGGCAAGGAAAGCAGAGCAGGCTGGGGCCGCATCGCTCCACTTCCCGCCACCGGTGAGTGCTGAGGGCATCCTTTCCCCAACTTCCCTGCACTCACCAGCAGTGGGAAGCGGAGCAGCCTGGCCCCAGCCTGCTTCACTCCGCCAGCTCCCAGCCATAGCGCTCAGTTTCCCGCCGCAGGTGAGTGTGGGGGGGGCCTCCTTTCCCCAACTTCCCGCCGCGGCTGGAAGGTGGCGGAGTGGAGCGGGTTGGTCTCCACTTCCCACCGCTGCCAGGGGGTGGGAGGTGTGTATAGGGGTCAGAGCAGTCAGGGGACTGTGAACAGGGGGGTTGGGTAGGGGGTGGGGTCTTGGGGGTGATTAGGGATGGGGGTCTCTGGAGTGGGCGGTCAGGGAACAAGGAACGCAGGGGGGGGGCAAAGCAAGTTCGATATAACGTGGTCTCACCTATAAGGCGGTGACCTTTTTTTGTCTCCCGAGGACTGCGTTACATCGGGTAGAGGTGTACTAACAGAACCACTATGAAACAAGCTAGGGAAAACATGGAGAACTTGCTAAGCAAGATGCCACAGTTCCAACAACCGTCACGGAACTGACGGGGTGCCAGGTCAGCAGGGTCATTTTTTGAGCACCATGGAAGTGCCACTCAAGGGGGCTCCGCAGCTAACCCGATGGATGCTGCTTGGGGAGAAAATTTCCGACGGCTGTGCATGCGGCGTGTGCACACCTAATTGGAATCAATATGAGCAATCACTCAAAGAAAAAAATGTTCATGTTGACAGTGGCTTCTTGAATGATTGAATAGCATCCAGTGGGTTTTTTTGCTGCCTTAGTTGACCACCACCCCCAACCCCGATACCCAGTAAAAATAGTAAGTTTATTAGCAGCTTATGCAGGGAAATGCAGAGACTTAAGTTGGTATTGGTTGACTCCTGCTTTGTAAATGTTCATGCACGTCTTTTTGTCAACTGCCTGGAATCTAGTTTTCTTAAATATATTCATGTATTGAGGCCTGAGGTCCCTTTTACCCAAAGGAATAATTGTTTTGGTGGTAATGGGTAAGTATTTTTTTTAAATTCAGATCAATAGTGAAAGCTATTCCTGTCCTGTGTAGAGCAAATTGCATAAGAAGGGAGGTTCAATTTAGGATGGGCCACGAAGGAAAAAAAAATTCTGCTATTCTCAATTACAGGAGAACATCGAACGCTTGAGACAGAACCATTACTACTGGATTGGGCTAAGAAAGGAAGCAGCAGAATGGCAGTGGGATGATGGATCTCCATTTACTAATGATGTGTATGTTTTTTCAGCTGTGACTAGAAACTTGGTGGGGGGTATCGGCATATGTCTGACTGAAACCAGAAAGAAAATGAGTTGCTGTCAAAGCAGAGTTGAGAGACATTGTATGTAATTATTTGTAATTCATCAAGACACTTAACTTCTGCAACAACAACAAATAGGTTGTTTGCTGATTGCTTCTGTCTTTAGTTGCATAAATCTGGAGCTGTAGAAATGATTGGTGATCCTGGCTTTTCACAAACATTTATCTTCAGAACAGAAGTGATTCATTCCCATTTATTTTTTTTCTTCTCCCTAGCATCCAATTGGAAAATGAAGACGCGAAGCTGAAGTGTTCTTTCCTAAACAGTGACAAAATTGTTACTGTAGATTGCACATCTTCAAGACGCTGGATCTGTGTCAAAGAGTCCAAATGAGTAGTAGTCCTCTCCAGTGAAGGGTTTGTTAGTAGTGCAAGGTACAAACATAATCTGATTTTTTCCAGTGGAGTTTATTGCAACTTCTAAATTCTAACAAGAGTTTTTAGAGAAATGTAGCAGATAGAGCTCTCCTGAACATAAGATCTAAAGTGCTGTAATTGGAGGCCTGTTGCAAGGTGCATTGGGGATGCCTGTAGCTGATGTGCCATCACAAGCAAAATCCAGCTCCTGTAGACATCTGCACTTATTTATTTGTATGTGTGTATATATACCTACATATGTATTATAATAGTGTTCAAAGTCAAGATCTGGATTATGCTAGATGCTGTACAAACTCAGTGAAGACATTGTCCTGAAGAGTCAGCACCCAAAAGTGTACTTTTGTTGGGGAGTGTGTGTGTGTGTGTGTGTGTGTGTGTATACACATAGTGATTCATATGTCCATGTAATACGTTATAGGTCATTGAGCCCTGGTATGAATGACGCGTGCTTGACATGAATGCGTGTGTTGCAAGTTAGCAACTGAAGCAAGAACTTAAGGTCAAGGACTATTAGAACTCTTTGTGCAAAAACAATCTTATGCTCCAAGGAAAAATACTGAAAATCATCAGAAAAGGAAATAACAACAGCTGGACTGATATAATATTGTATAAGAATTGGAGGAAATGGCATGTCTTGGATCATGGCAGCCCACCCAGGATTGTCTCTTTGGAGTTGTGTGGGTAGAAGGCCTAATAAAGGCAAAGGACCGATGACGCGACGGAATGGATTATGAATGGGTGCCTATTTTTTTTTTGCAAATCGGAGTCGTTTATTGATCCAGAGAACCATGTGGATATAGATGTGATTTTCACCAGCTCCCCGCATCTTATGATCTTATCCTGATGGAAGGAACCTCGACTGGCCATTGGGAACATTCTGACTTTTGGACTCCAGTATAGTATGTTTGGGGTGTGAATGTGGAGTGAGTAAGGTTTGTTTTGTAATCAGTGAAGAGCATTTAGAGTATTATATACCAACACTGTTTCCGGTATCTGCTTGCTCCCCATCTCGTAGGGAGACCTCTATTACAGGTCTAACACTTAGGTAATTTACAGACACATAAAAAGATTACATTGTTTAAAAAAAAAACACAAAAAAACCACAATGTGGGGGGAGAGAGAGTCTCAGCATGAGCTTTTCCCCGCCATTTATATTTTCTCTTCTCTGTCTTGCCTGTTGTTTTGTTTTTAGCCATTGTCCATGTCACTTTTTTAGTTTTTATCTCACGCCATTTGCCTCTTTGTCAGTGATGTTATTTCTAAGAAGCTAGGCAACAGTTACATACTAGGAATTTTGGTAATCTTTAATTTTTTCTTAGGAATTCTGCCCTTTCCTCACCATTTACCCTACTAGAACCTTTGGCTCCTTGGTTATATGACTTTATAACCTTTCCCTGCTCTTCCCAAATGCTCCTGCTACCTCCTCCCCGTGCTTCAACTACATCACTCACCCCTTGAAACCCTCATTTTGTTGTTAACAGAAAAAAGTCTGTCTGGATTTTTTTCTTAATTTCTAACACTGACAAGGGATTAAGGGGAAAAATAACTTTTGTTTTATGAACAGCATTTTATGTAAATTAATGTTCACTCTTTTCCCAGCAATTTGTGTGGATTTTTCCAACAGCAACAGGGAGAAAAACTTTTACTTTTTTTTTTTTTAATTGACTAGATTTCAAGTTCATGTTACCCACTTCAATTCAGTCCATTTCAGAGATTTGGGGGTGTGTGTGTGTTTGTTTTATAAATGTACTTGAATCTATAGCAGGATTTCCAATTTACCACAGACACAAAAGAGTTTTGTTGCAGAATTCAGCTCCCACTTGCTGGGCCTTCCTTAACATAAAATGCTCTAGAAAGCCAATTATAATTTAAGTGCTATATCATGGCTGTTTTAAGGCAATGGGTCTAAACTTCTTCTATACAGTGATCCTATGTGAAAACAGAAACAATTTTCAAGATCCTCCTTCTATCTAGCTATAAAGAAGGGAAAGGTGGTTGCAACTTCCTGAAACTTGTTTGTGACCTGACAAGGGTCACAGCTCCCAGGTTGAAAACCTGTTATCTCAGGTATCTGCCGTTATCAACCTGTGTAGCCAGGGGTGAGTTCCAGTGCCATATCTTGAATCTGTTGTTATAATTTTTACTAATTGTTTGTTCAGCTTTAGATTTCTGGGTTATTTGCCAGACACACTTCAGAAGCTAGGATCACGCTCCTCTGACAAGCTGCAAAATCAATTCTAAATCTGCAAAGCCTACAACTCTAACCTGCCTAGAAACCCAAATTGCATATTAAGGCCATGTGAGAATAGATGTAGTATGGTGTTTAGGATCCTCATGTCCCACTGAAGGTACCTGGCAGTATTAGACACTTTTAAACAGTTGGATACTTGAAGTTTGTATATTTTTAACACAACCCTTTTATCAATAACTATTTTTTAAACTAGATCATGTACACTTTTCTCAATGTATTCATTATTTTTAATTCAGAATGTGAAGCATCTTTCAGAACAGGGAGGGACAAAAATGTATAGAAGTAGCAAAGAAAGTGAGGGTGGCATTTGGCTTCTGTTTTATGTATCTACAGTGTTTGCTCATCCTGGGAAAGAATTGGACATGGGGCCAAATTTCAAAGTCGTTTAGGCACCTAAAGATGCAGGTAGGCGCCTAGTGGGATTTTAGAAAACACATGAGTAGGTTGGGTGCCTAATTCTGACTCAGTCCCATCTTAACCTTCTTAGGTGCTTTTGAAAATCCCACTAGGTGTTTATCTGCATCTTTAGGCACCCGAGTGCTTTTGAAAATCTGATCCATACATGTTTTTAAAATACCTTGTTTTCCAAACTGTATGGTAAATATAGTTCAGTTGACCATCTTATCAGAAATAATTATTATAATAAAAATCTAATCAAAGACCCTAGATCACTTTTTATAATGGTCTGGGAAAAAATATGTACATTGCAGAGATACATCCATAGAAAACCTGTGTATAGAAGTTCAGCATATTTGAATTTGATAATCTTTGATTAAAATAATTCCATTTGAATCTGTTATTTGATAATCTCAAATCATTATCAATCAGATTAATACAGGAAAGAAGACATGTTTTACCACCTCCTGTACTACACGGATAGATAAGCTAAAAGAGTTCTAATGTGGTCATAATTAATAACATCTGTGACAACTGACAGTTCTTAATGAGTTAAACATCTTTTAATGGGTCCTTAATTTCAGTCATTACAAAAAACATTTGCTCTAACAAGTACCTCTTATTAATCACAGAACATAATTAGAGCATAGGCATCCCTTATCAATCACCCAGTCTTATTTGTAACATACTTTTGTAGACACACATTAGTTTGAGGGGTCTTTTCCTTAGACATTCAGATTCCCACAAGCTTGAAGACACCAGCAATAATGAGATACAGCCCAATACGGGAAATTCCTGAACACAAGTCACTCACAGGCTAAGAACCAATACTCTGGGACTTAGAATTCAAAGACAGTCTTTGCTAATATAAAAGATTCTGGGGTAATAGTTAATATGAAAATGAATGTAATATACAAGAAAGAGGACTAAAAAGATTAATATTTACCAACAAGTAGTTGTATGTAAAACTCAGCTATATAATGTCTTTGTATATATTTTTTTGTCTGTCTGTGTCTTGTCTCTTGCTCTCTCTATTTGTTTTATCATAACTGACTGAGAAATTGAGGATTAACACAAATATCTCCTGCAATTATTCTGATCCTATTCATGCTTTCTTGCGGGGTATGGATTACTACATGGCAGTGTTTATGGAAGGGTACAGTGGTGATGCAAAGATATTGTAAACAGCTGCATCTGATGCCAATGGACTAAGCACCGAATAGCTCCCATGTTTTAACACACTCGAAAATCAGACAAGTGCCTAAATATGGATGTAACCTAACTTCAGGCTCTTATTTTTAAAAAACAAATTATAAAAACATTACAATAGCCTGGGGCTCAAAACTTAATGTGACCTTTTCATAAGAGTGCAAAGTCACCAAAGCTTGTAGCCTGAGCTGGGCATACTCCAGTGTAGATGGCTAATCAGTTCTGACAAGCTTAATTCTATGAGTCCAGACCAACTAACTGCTGTATGCTCCATAGGACCAGTAGGCCTGGGATTAAGAACATAAGAATGGCCATACTGGGTCAGACCAAAGGTTCATCTAGTCCAGTATCCTGTCTTCTGACAGTGGCCAATGCCAGGTGCCCCAGAGGGAATGAACAGAACAGGTGGTAATCGAGTGATCCATTCCCAGCTTCTGGCAAACAGAGGCTAGGGACACCATCACTGCCCAACCTGGCTAATAGCCATTGATGGACCTATCCTCCATGAATTTATCAAGTCCTTTTTTGAACCCTGTTATAGTCTTGGCCTTCACAACATCCTCTGGCAAAGAGTTCCACAGGTTGTCTGTGCATTGTGTGAAGAACTACTTCCTTTTGTTTGTTTTAAACCTGCTGCCTATTAATTTCATTTGGTGACCCTGTGATGTTCTGTACCTCACGGGAATACCATGCACTCCCATGTTCATCCTTATAAGATGATTGTGTGGGATCCACTGCAAAGCTTGTCATGTCAGGTGTCTTCGGAAGGCTCATGATGCACTGAGCATTGTTATAGTCATGTTATAAGTTGTAATTTCATGTATATAGTTATGGGGCTGAAAATGTCCTCATGGCTTAAAACAAGCACACTCCAGGAACAGAGGAGCAGTTTACACCTCATCAGGGCATGTATGGGACAAACCCAGCCCAACCTCACAGGAACAAAGGACACTGGCCTAGGCAGCAACAAAGGATCTGTTGGACTCTCCAGTGAGTCACCCCTCTTCCCTTGGTCAGTCAGGGACTATGATGAGGTACTGCCCACCTGACCATGAATGGGGTGGGGGGTGCGAAAGGGGAGAGCCTGGCTGGGTCTGGTGAGAAGCATCTAAGTTTGTAAGAGCACTGAAAGTGTTAAGATCAGCTTAGAATGTGTTTTGCTTTTATTTCATTTGACCAAATTCAACTTATGCTTTGATTTATAATCACTTAAAATCTATCTTTGTAGTTAATAAATTTGTTCATTCTACCTGAAGCAGTGCGTTTGGTTTGAAGTGTGTTAGAGATTCCCTTTGTGATAACAAGCCTGGTACATATCAATTTCTTTGATAAACTGAAAAACTCATATAAGCTTGCAGTGTCCAGGGTGAATAACTGGACACTGGAAGACAGAGGTTCCTAGGGTTGTGTCTGGGATCGGAGATATTGGCTAGTGTCATTTGGTTGCACAATCCAAGCAGCCCAGGAGTAGAAGCTGTCACAGCAGAGCAGGGTAAGCTGGCTCCCAGAGTAAAGGATTGGAGTGACCTAGCAGATCACCGGTCCAGATAACACCAGGGGAACATCAAAGACCCCTAGTTCTTGTGTTATGAGAAGAAGTAAATAATACTTCCTTATTTACTTTCTCCACACCAGTTGTTATTTCATAGACCTCTATCATATCCCCCTTTAGTCGTCTCTTTTCCAAGCTGAAAAGTCCCAGTCTTATTAATCTCTCCTCAACGGAAGCTGTTTGATACTCCTAATAATTTTTGTTGCCCTTTTCTGAACCTTTTCCAATTCCAATATATCTTTTTTGAGATGGGGTGACCACATCTGCACACAGTATTCAAGATGTGGGCATACCATGGATTTATATAGAAGCAATATGATATTTGCTTGTCTTATTATCTATCCCTTTTTTAATGATTCCCAACATTGTTTGCTTTTTTGACTGCTGCTGCACATCAAGTGGACGTTTTCAGAGAACTATCCACAATAACTCCAAGATTTTTCATGAGTTGGAGAACACTTCAATCTCTTTGGTCACTCGATTACAGACCTAAAAGTTGCAATTCTTCAACAAAAAAACTTCAAAAACAGCCTCCAATGAGAGACTGCTGAATTAGAATTAATTTGAATACTGGATACAATTAACTTAGGCTTGAATAAAGACTGGGAGTGGATGGGTCATTACACAAAGTAAAACTATTTCCCCATGTTTATTCCCCCCTCCCACTGTTCCTCAGAAGTTCTTGTCAACTGCTGGATATGGCCCACCTTGATTATCACTACAAAAGGTTCCCCTCTCCCCCCGCTCTCCTGCTGGTAATAGCTCACCTTAAGTGATCACTCTCTTGTTACAGTGTGTATGGTAACACCCATTGTTTCATGTTCTCTGTGTATATAAATCTCCCCGCTGTATTTTCCACTGAATGCATCCGATGAAGTGAGCTGTAGCTCACGAAAGCTTAGGCTCAAATAAATTGGTTAGTCTCTAAGGTGCCACAAGTCCTCCTTTACATTTTGCGAATATAGACTAATACGGCTGCTACTCTGAAACCTTTCTGTAACTGTTGTTCTTCAAGATATGTTGCATATATCCATTCTAAGACCCACCCTACAACCCCTCTTTTGGAATTGGCCGGAAAGAAGGAACTGAGGGGGCACAGGGTCAGCTGGGCCCTTTATACTAGTGCTATGAGTGTGCACCAGAGCTAACCCAATGGCTACCACTGAGGGAAAAATTTCTGGGAGCTGTGTTTGGGGCGCTGTAGCAAAGGGGAGTGCCCTCCCTCAGAGACTGACAGCGAGGGAGAGCCCGACGTCCCCTGGTGTGCGGAACCCAGAAGGCTTAGGCCACCATGCCAGAAGTGGAATGGCAGGACAGGGACAGGAAGTATAAGAGGTGGGCCCTGCAGCTCAGTTGGGCAGGAGCCACCAAAGGAGGCAGACGCTTCCAGCCTGCTGCTGGAGTCAGAACTCGCAGAAGACTTCTGCTGTCCCGAGGACACCTCCAATGAGGCCCATACCATGAAAGGTGCTTCTAATAAAGATTCCCCTCTTAAAGAGGTCCTAAGAACACATTTTCCTTGGGTCTCACATAATTCAGTATAATTATTATATTTGTTTCATGTAATATCTATCCTTTAAACATGATCTGAGAGAGACAAGAGTGGGTTGCAGATGCTGTACTAAAAAAAAATACCATGAAGGCTTGAAAGCTTTTTTTTCCCCAGACCATTTCCTGCTTGGATAGATTAGAAATATTAGATCTTGTCTTCTCTGGTCGCCTGGAACTCTATATGGATGATTGGAAAATGAGTGGGATTATGACACCACCTCTGATAGACTGCAACCTGAGCAGTTGAAGAGATTTTTAGTTAACATTAATTTAACTCACACAGTTGGGAGAGAACTCTGAAAGATTAAACACTTTGCCTCTTAAATTGCAGGTTCAGAAAGCTCCATCTAGTCCTCCAGCCAAACAGGAAAGACTAGACTTGGTAATCTTAATATTTCTAACTAAAAATATAACGAAAAGCACTTTTCCAGGTCTCCTTTATATATCATAAAACACAAAATAAAAGCACACATTTATTTTCCCTTTTCGGCAGGTCTCCTTTATGATATGTGTAATCAGTTAGGTCAGACATACGAGGAGCTAAACTTGTGGCTGAAGCATGGCATTGGTGTCTAAAATGTGGTGAACCTCAAACAGCTTTTGAAGCATTTTTAGGGCAGGATTGTGGCTATTTCCCATTCTTGTCATTCTGATAGTCACTGATTCTTTGTGCCAAAGTCACTGTTGAAGAATGTCAGCGTTCTCAATCTGGAAGTTGCATGCTTAATGTCTGCATTGCATTTATAACCCCACCTCCAGCCAAGGTATCAGAAGGATTACAAATGAAAAAGAAACAAAGTTTTAGGTCTTCAGAAATTTGTAAAACCCTTAAAAGAAAATCACTTACTCACGTCTTCCTTTTACACACACTCCACCATTGTCAATGACCACAAGCATCCAGTTCCTTAGTGGATTGTTTCCTGCATGATTATAAGACAGAACTTAGCATTTGTTATCCACAAGAGCACTTCCTGAAAATATGCCCAGTAAAAAGCTGTTTTTTAGGAAGGGTGCTTCTGTTACCGTTGTACTGCATTAAAACCCCTCAGTGTTAATACTACTAGTCTTAACAATTGCTTAGGAACACAGGCCTCATTCTCCCCAGCCTGGCATCTAGTGTAATCATTTATACCAGTACAGAATGTGTGTAACATGTTGCCTCTTGTTTAAATGTATTCTGACTGGGTAGCATGGTCCACTCACACTGCACAGGTGCAGTGGATGACATAAGGTGCTAAGCAGCGTACCTCCATCATAGCTGGTCTCAAGGCAGGAAGCCACATTGCTCTACTGCTCACTGTATCTGTTTTGTGGGTCAGAAACACTGCACAGCTTCCTCTGCCCCCAAGTCACATCTTTTCCCAGGGGACGTGACTCCGCTAACACACCTCACAATTGTCAAATACATTTTTTTAAAACTTAAATGTGGCCCATTTATTGAACCCACCCACCAATCGGCCAAGCCAGCAGTACTCTGAGCTCTGGTTCCACCATGCTAATTAGTAATGCTGCTGTCACTGGGAGGGGCTGCCCCATTTTTTAAACCAAAACAAATATCCCCACCAGTAAATAAAATGCTTCACTAAGGGTTGTGTTAACCTCACCTGCCCAAGTAGAATAGCTAGATAATCACAATGCTTTCAGAAGTTGGGCTCAAGGAAGCCAGGGAATGGAAGAAGGCACCTTTCATCTTCATTTGTTACACCAGGAAAATAAAAACCAGCAGGATCTTATTAAAGGGGATAAGGCAATATGCTGCTTTCATTGTGAATACAGAAAGAACCATAGTAAGCAGTCAGTTATAGCTATAACATTCCATTCAATTTCACATTCATTCATACACACACAGGTTCTGCAAGGTTGTTATCATAGTTACCAGACTTAGAGTTGCTTGTGCCAAGCCACTGGCCAGGTGGCCTGGACACGAGGAGGGAGCAGGGCCTTGTCAGATGTGCATCTGATGCTCCTGGAAGTTGGTTTGCAGAATCAGACCCAAAGTCTTCAGGGCCTATTTTTATAAGGATTTATCCTCATTCAAGTCTATAGGGCTTGCTTCCTCATGCTGTTCTCATGTTTGGCTGCCGGCAGGTGCAGAGCACTCACTAATTTTTTCCTGTGGGTGCTCCAGCCCCGGAGCACCCATGGAGTCGGCGCCTATGGATCGAGGTGGAAACACAATCTCAACACATATTAAATGAGACAACCCCCTTCCCACCATAAAAGCAACTTAGTGTCACCATTTGTTAAATTCGTTTTGAATGATAAGAATAACCACACAGCTTGGTATAATCACTCCTACGACAGAATTTACATTGGTGGCATTTGTATCTGTATGTGGTATACTTGAGATGATTGTAGGATAATCTGCTTCTGCTAAGGAGATCTCAGGGTTCACCTCTGGTAGCATTCTCTCAGTATTTGCTGACGAAGTTTGATGTTTCTCTCTCTGTGAGAGCTGATCTCCATTGTTCTCTCATCCCATTCTTGGGCAACATTGTTAGGGAAGAAAGAGTTTGCCTTCACTGTATTAATCATAATTTTACTTTATCATTAATATATTCTACAACAAGAACCCTCTCCTGACCACACTCAGTAACAGCTACTACTGGCATATTCTCTCACTTTATGTCCCTGGGCCAGGTTCTTCGTTAACACAAGCGGCATCCCACTGCAGACACATCTAACTAAAAAGTCATTTGCCAGCCAATGCAATTCTGAACTGCAAACAAAGGAGTCATGCAGCACGGAGGTAAAAGTCCTTCCATATATGGGAGTGCAGCTGGAAAACTACATTTACTTACCGGAAAGGTAGGTAAATTGGAGTGAGTTCAAAGAGCAACCAAAATGGTTAGACAGCTGGAAAGATTAAACTGGGAGGAAAAACTAAAAGAGAAGTGTGTTTAGCCAGTGCCAGATTTACACTTTACATGCACCTAGGCACAGCATCTTCAGCGCCCTGCCCTGCCTACAGCGGACCTTTGTGTTTTCCGTAAAAAATTAAACTAAAAGAAATATAAATGATAATTTAAATACAATAGAACCTCAAAGATATGAACACCAGAGTTACAGACTGAGGGGTCAACAGGCCACGCTGTGGAACCAGAAGTCCTCAATCAGGCAGCAGCACAGACTTTAAAAAAAAAAAATGCAAATACTGTACTATCTTAGGGCTCAAGGCTTCAGCTGCAGGGTGGTGGAGGGGCGGTCAAGGCTCCAGGCTTCTGACCCTCGGGAGCATCGGGGCACAGAGCTTTAGGTGGGGGGCTCGGGGTTCAGCACCACGACTGCTCCCGGTTTCAGCACTGCAGAAGGTGCTGGGACTCTGGGCTTCAGCCCCGCAGCTCTGTTCCTTCCTTTACACCCACGGGGGGCATCAAGGCTTGGGGCTTTAGCCAGTTTCAGCCCCAGCACTCCCCCTGTAGCTAAAGCCCAGAGCCCTCCCGTCCTCCCCCGAAGCAGAGAGTCGAGCCGTGGAGAGCCCTGAGCCCCGGCAAGGCTGAAACTGGGAATGGAGCTAGCACTCCCCCGACATCTAAAGTGCTGAGCCCCAGTGCTCCCACAGGGCAGAAGCCCTGAGCCCCCTGCCCTGAGCCCAAGTGCTCCAAGAGTCAGAAGCCCCAACTCTGTTTCTCCACCCCCCCCACCACCACATGTGGCTGAAGTCCATAACCTCTTCTTCAAAGTTACAGAACATTTCAGAGTTACAGACAACCTCCATTCCCGAGGTATCTGTAACTCTGAGATTCTCACTTTTTACCCCTTTTAACTTTTAGACACCCCTAGGCACATGCCTCCTGTGCCTAAATGGAAATCCATCTCTCTGTCTAGCCTGGCTAAGGGCTTGATTCTCTACGAAATGCTGAACACTCTGCCCCCAATCCAGCAAGTCACTTAAGTACATGGTTAATTTTAAGCACGTGAGTAATGCCATGCCCTAAGTGACAAGGTCCTGATCCTGCAGACAAGCACTTGCTTAACTTTAAGCACCCAACTAGGGTAGCCAGGAGTCCAGTTTTCGACCGAAACGCCCGGTCGAAAAGGGACCCTGGTGGGTCCGGTCAGCAGTGCTGACTGGGCCACTAAAAGTCCAGTCAGCGGCGCAGTACGGCTAAGGCAGGCTCCCTGCCTGCCCTGGCTCCACGGCTCCTGGAAGCAGCTGGCATATCTCTCTGGCTCCTCGGCACAGGGGCGGCCAGGGCGGCTCTGCATACTGCCCGTGCCCACAGGCACCATCCCCGCAGCTCCCATTGGCCACAGCTTCCGGACCAAGGCAAGCACAAGGGTGTTTGGTTTTCTGCAATCAGAAAGTTGGCAGCCCTACACTCAACTAACCCCACAGGACTAGGCACCTCCTTCAAATTAAAAACGTGCCTGTTTGCAGGATTTGAGAGATGTGAACAGTAAAGAAAGAGGGGTGATTTGGGGTGGGACCAGAAGGCTCTTACTGGGAAGGATTCAAAGAAGCAGCAGTAGCTCCCATTCTGAATTTCTCCCCACATATGTCACAGAGGAAGAGCAGGGCTTGTACCCTGCCAGTCAGTGCAGTGCTCTGCTTTGGGAGTCACCCTCTGCTTGGCTCTGACAGGAGCACAGAACAAGCCTGTTGGCTTCACAGCAGCAGTGAAAACACCCACCAAACAAGTGCAGGGCAGATCTGCCTGTGGCTGAGCCTGCATGTCCCACAGGCTAACTTGGGTCTACCGGTATAGATGCTACTGCACCTATTACAACGAAATGGCCCACCTTGAGTATCACTACACAAAGTAAAACTATTTCCCCATGTTTATTCCCCCCTCCCCCTGTTCCTCAGAAGTTCTTGTCAACTGCTGGATATGGCCCACCTTGATTATCACTACAAAAGGTTTTCTTCCTCCCCCCTCCTGCTGGTATTAGCTCATCTTAAGTGATCACTCTCCTTACAGTGTGTATGATAACACCCATTGTTTCATGTTCTGTGTGCATATAAATCTCCCCCCTGTATTTTCCACTGAATGCGTCCGATGAAGTGAGCTGTAGCTCACGAAAGCTCATGCTCAAATAAATCGGTTAGTCTCTAAGGTGCCACAAGTCCTCCTTTTCGCGAATACAGACTAACACGGCTGCCACTCTGAAACCTGTCTTAAGGCTGTACTTAAATAGCTGAAGCCCGCACGCACACAACAAAAGTTGGTCAGGCAGCAGCCAACCTCTGACGGTGTGCACAGGAGTTCACAGTGATTGGATTTGGAACCGGAGGCTCACTTGAAGCAAAGAAACCACCCACTGAAGCAGGCCACATCAAAGCGCAAAGCAGCCGAGCCGCCCCGCCCGCTGGCTTTCACACATTCGCTATGCCGCTCATCTATGGGCCGCAGACTCTCCGGCTCACAGCCGGCCCCGCCTCCCACGCAGCAGCTCCCTGCGGAACTGCCGCCGGAGCACCCCGCGCACAGACCGCTCAGCAACCGCAGCTGCAGCGCGCCCCGCGCGACCGCCCAGCTCTGACTCTAGGCAGACAATGCCCCAGGGCGCGCGCGCGCGAGCAAGATCGCGGCCAGGAGCTTGCGAGCTCACCCCCTCCTCGCGCGGTGCTGTAATTCTCCCCAGGGGGAGAGCTACCGTAAAGTCTGTAGCACTGCAGCCTCAACCTGTTCTTCAGCTCCTTGCCGAAAGGAGCCTGCTCCCGCGCGCTCGCCCCAGCTTTAGAACGCCTTGTCTTGAATGGTTCGGCCACTTGCCAAGAAGGATGGTTTTGTGCCTAAGGGGCAGGCCTAGGCAGCAGCAGGCCTAGGGTCTGTTTCCACCTCTAACAGTGGCCTCATTTTTCCTACCTCAAGCGGGAGCTGTAGGGTTCCTTCATTCATTGCAGTTTTCCTGTGACAGAATGCAACATAATCACATTACATGAAATCCTTTCTTCTTTCTTTTTTGGTTATAAAAACAAGCCCTACCTTTCAGGCATGCACTAAGCTGTGTCCTCTGAACTCAAATACAAGCATCCTGTGCGGTTTACTTTGGTTAAAGTTCATAAGTGACCAGCCTCTCACTGCCCCTTCCTTCCTACTAACTTTCCATGGTTGCTTTTGCTGTGACAGGAAGGGTTGTTTGTTTCTCTTGGTTTCACTCTGCAAAAGAGGCTAGAGATGGAAGAGGGGGAGGATGGTTACACAGCCCTACGCTTCAAAGGAAGAAGGAAAAGATCGAATGGAAGTAAGAATAACATCTCCAGAGTTTATTTCTGTGCCATGTACCACCAGATAGTTTGATTTAGTGCAGTGGTTCTCACCTAGGGGTCTGGGGCCCTCTGGGGGTCTGCAAGCAGGTTTCAGGGGTCTGGCCTGCCAAGCAGGGCTAGCATTAGACTCACTGGGGCTCAGGGCAGAAAGCCGAAGCCCCACAGCCACTACATGGGACTCAAGCTCAGGGCCCTTAGCCCCACCACCGGCAGGCTGAAGCTGAAGCCTAAATGCTGTAGCTTCACGGGGGCTCCTGTAGCATGGGGCCCCAGGCAAATGCCCTGTTTGCTACGCCCTAATGCCAGCCCTGGCTTTTATATGCAGAAAACCAGATGTTGTGGCACGGGTGGGCCGTGGAGTTTTTATAGCATGTTGGGGGGACCTCAGAAAGAAAAAGGTTGAGAACCTGTGATTTAGCGGCTAGAGCAGGAAACGGAGTCACGACTAGAGCTGGGCAAAAATTTCTGCACGCTTTATTTGATGAAAAATACAGTTTTGACTGACCCAACAGTATGTGCAAATTTGGTACAAATAATATTGGCTAGTCACAAAATAGTGGAGGTGGTGGTGCTGCTGCTAGCCCCCCAACCTTTAGTCCAGGGGTGGGATGCAGGTGATCTGGCTTTGAATCCGTGCTCTGGAGCAGAGCCTGAACACCCTTTATTGATTCATCAAAAATTTTAAAAATCAAATCAGGTTCAGTTCAACCTGAACCAATTTTTCCCCCCCCGTTGGTTTTTTTTTTTTAACTGCCATCAAACTGAAAGATCAGTTATTTGTCCAGCTCTAGTCGGGACTCCTTGAGTACATCCACATGGCAAGCAGAAACCCAGAGCAGCGAGTCTGGCTCTAAAGACTTGGGTTCAGAGGGCTCATGACACAGTGCAAAAATAGCTTTGTAGATGTTCAGGCTTGGGCTGGAGCTCAGGCTATTTTTAGCCAGAGTTCACAGACCCAGGCTCTGAGACTTGCTGCCGCATGTTTCTGCTTGCCATATAGACATACCTCTTCGGTCTTTATCCAATTCTGCCATTTGCTTGCTGCATGACCTCCAATTAAGCATGCTATTTAAACTTCCTGTATCTCAGTTTCCCCGTCTGTAAAATGTACTTGTTTCTGGATGTGGTGAAGCTTAATATTTATAAAACGTTTTGAGACCCTTCAATGAAAAGTACTATAAGGGTGCATAGGCATATTTATTTTCATTATATTTTTCTTTAATGAGATTTGATAATGCCATAACCACAGATAGGTTAGAATACGTTGAACAGAGAGGGCATGATTCCTCTTTCACTCATATGTCAGTGGAGTTACTCCTGATTTACACCAGCATAAGTGAGAGGAGAATCAGGCCAAGAGTCCTAACAGACTTACAGAAGCCCCATTTGCACATGAGATAATGTCTAATATGCCTAGCCTATACCGGCTGCTTTTGTAAACACTTTTGAAGAGAGTGACTGGGTAACAGCTTTTCCCTGGCACTACTGAAGCCACTGATAGGATTTGTCACTCTTCTATGGGTTACTCTTTAGCGAAATTAATACGTTATTTATAAAGTAATTATATCCGGAAGTCATCACAAAATGGTGCCTTAACCCACAGGTTCCTGCCCATTTATGTAAACATCAGCTAAAGCTCCACAGAGCGAGCGAGCACGCGGGTATGTGCTATCCCAGTGCAGCAAAACAGAAATGTGATTCTTAAAAAAAGAGAAAAAATCACTTTAGGGCAGGGGTGGGCAAACTTTTTGGCCTGAGGGCCACATTGGGTTTCCAAAATTGTATGGAGAGCCGGTTAGGGGAGGCTGTGTCTCCACAAACAGCCAGGCGTGGCCTGGCCCCTGCCTCTTATCCGACCCCGTCACTTCTCGCATTCTGACGGCTCCCCCGGGACTCCTGACCCATCCAACCCCCCCCCGTCCCCTGACGGCCCCCCCGGGACTCCTACCCCATCCACCGCTCCCTGTCCCCTGACCACCCCTGGACCCCCCCAACCCCTGACTGCCCCCTGCTGCCCCATCCAACCACCCCCTCTCATTCCTGACTTGCCCCCTGGGACCCTTGCCCCATCCAACCACCCCTTTTCCCTGTCCCCTTACTGCCCCCAGAACCCCTGCCCCTGACTGTCCCCCGCCACCCCATCCAACCCCCCTTCTCCTTCCTGACTGCCCCCCCCGGGACCCCTGCCCCATCTAACCCCCCTGTTCCCCGCCCTCTGACTGCTCCGCCCTCTATCCACATCCCTGCCCCCGGCCACCGCCACAACTCCCCTGCCCTCTATGTGGCCCGTGGGTCGTAGTTTGCCCACCTCTGCTTTAGGGCAATGAATAAGCCAAAGCTAATTACATCTTTTGTTGTTCTCTTAGGAGAGTGGTCATCTAGCATATATTTGGAGAGGGGTTTACAGAAGGAAAGGACTGCAACTCAGCTGTTCTCAACCTTTCCAGATTACTGTACCCCTTTCAGGAGTCTGATCTGTCTTGCATATCTCCAAGTTTCACCTCACTTAAAAACTACTTGCTTACAAAATCAGGCATAATAATACAAAAGTGTTACAGCACGCTATTACTGACAAATTGCTTACTTTCTTATTTTTACCATATAATTATAAAATAAATCAATTGGAATATAAATATTGTACTTCCATTTCAGTATATAGTATATAGAGCAGTATAAACAAGTCATTTGTCTGGATGAAATTTAAATTTTTACGGACTTCGCTAGTGCTTTTTATGTAGCCTGCTGTAAAAATAGGCAAATATCTAGATGAGTTGATGTACCCCCTGGAAGACCTCTGCATACCCCTGGTTGAGAACCGCGGCTGTAACTTATCTGATCTCTGAGTAAAATGGAAGCAAGTATATTTGTATCATGGACCTAGAGAATGTAGAGTAAGAATTTAGAGGGTGAGGTGTGACTGAATGATTTGGGAGTAGTGGGAAATGGGTTGCCATGCAGCTCCACCTCAATGGTTTGAATGACTCAAGGAGATCGCATATAGAACCTTTTATCTCTAGGGCACAGTTTACATCCACTCTCAGGTCATGGGGAATGGGTTAAATAGAGCCTTCACCTCTGCAGAAGTCACCTTTTCCAATCTTGCCCTATGCATGTGGAGATTGAATAATTCAGGGGGGCTGGAAGGGGATACTGACCCACTCAGCTTTAGGTGCCATCAGTTCCTATCTGTTCTATGCAGGTCAGTCGGGAGTGATCAGAAATCATTCCCATCTGCCAGCTGTTCAGTGCGTTGTGTGAAATTATTTAGGGTTGCAGTCTAATTTCTGATTGGACAATTGTCCACATCACAAAACCCACTTCCATGGCTGGGATTGCTTACCCTTAATTGGCTGGCTCACAAGGAATGAATGGTTTGCTGAGACCGAATTCCCTACTCAGCCCTCGAAGAGGGATCTTCAGATCATGATCAAGTCACTTTGATGGGGGGCTGATGTGTGTGTTGGAAACTTGTACTGCCACTGCTTATACTATACCTGTTTGGAGAGATATACAAAGAGCTTCAGGTTCCTGGACTCGCAACCCAGCACCTTTCACCAACACTGTATTCACGGAAAGTAAACCACCAAAGAACAGAATAGAGATAGAAATGTCCTCTTCCTCCAACCAGGAGGCTGGTACAAGCTCATTGACTACGGGAGGCTTGATGGTATATAGGTTCATAGTTCAAAATACTTAGTCCCTAGATTCATAGATTATAAAGCTAGAAGGGTCCATTGGGATCATCTGATCTGACCTGTATAACGCAGGCCATAGAACTTCCCTAAATGAATTCCTGTTTGAGCTAAAGAGGAGATCGAAACATCCACAATGCCCCATATGAAGCACCATTGCACCATATATACCATGAAAGGAAATTTCTTCCTGACCTCCAGAGAGTAGTTTATGCCCTGAAGCATTAGGAATGAGGGAAATATGTAACCCTTGTAGAGTCACTGCAGATGCTATTCTTATATTTTAATTCCTACAGAGCTATTTGCCTCAGTAGTAACCCAGATCAGTGCCATCTGTTGGGCAATTCTAACTTTCTTTCCTTTTAAGTGCCCCCCTTGCCTTCTGTTATGGGTTAGGATGAATAAAAGTGCCCAGCTGGCCTTAGCCTTGGTGGGTGTCTTACTGTTTCTAACCAGGGGTCGGCAACCTTCGGCATGTGGCCCATCAGCGTAATCTGCTGGCGGGCCGCTAGACATTTTGTTTACGTTGACCGTCCGCAGGCACAGCCCCCGCAGCTCCCAGCATCTGCAGTTTGTCGTTCCTGGCCAATGGGAGGTGCAGGAAGTGGCAGCCCGCCGCTTCCTGAAGCTCTCATTGGCCGGGAACGGCAAACCGTGGACACTGGGAGCTGTGGGAGGCTGTGCTTGTGGACAATTAATGTAAACAAACTGCCTTGTGGCCCGCCAGTGGATTACATGCCGAAGGTTGCCAACCCCTGATTCTAAACTATGCTAACAGCTCCTTCTGTACTTGCAGCTTCTTCCAGGTCTTCTCCATTTGGCCATCCATTTACCATATCCCTAGGAGTAGCGGTGACCATTCTGCTTGGGACTGTGACGGGTTTGACTGTTCTGAGTAAGTTCTGGCTCCTTGTTTCAAAGCCAAGAAGTCACAAGAAGGGGAGGGTTAATTCAATAAATGGGTTAGACATGCCATAGGACCTCCATTTTCATGATCATATCTTCCATCCCTAATCCATTTGCCCTGAATATTACACTGGAAACACAACAGCTAGAGATTTCTAGCGCTCAGCCATTTTAATTGATGGAAGGAAAAGAGAGCCCATTGAAGAGGGAAAGAGTTTACATTTAGAAAAGCTTGGCATTTTCATTCACTGCTACTTGTCCATTTGGCAGGATGAGACAAGTGTAAAGCAATGACTGAGGCATAAAAGCAAACCTCTGCCACAGGCAATTTGGAGAGACAATCAGGCCATCTGTGGCAAAAAAAGGACAATATTAGATGGGCCTCATTTTTCCTCTATCAGCTCATCATAGGGTGACACTGCCCTTAGGAGTGAGCAGGGCCAGTGCCTCTGTGACTCATCAGCTGTCTCCCAGTTGTTTTAAAAGAACCTCTGAACGGCCATACTGGGTCAGACCAAAGGTCCATCTAGCCCAGTATCCTGTCTTCTGACTGTGGCCAGTGCCAGATGCTTCAGAGGGAATGAACAGAACAAATAATCATCAAGTGACTATGATCCATCCTCTGTGGCCCATTCCCAGCTTCTGGCAAACAGGGGTTAGGGACACCATCCCAAAAGAGGGCATCTGGGCTGAGAGGGAGAGAAACCTGGCCAGTCAGAGCTCCCAGAGAGCGGGAGATGGGAGGAGTTGTCTGGTAGAGCCTATAGGGAGCAGATGCCTCTCTGCAGGCCTTCCCTGGAAAGGGGTGGGAATTATTAGGAAGGCAGTGGAGTGGCTGGCTAGCTGACCTTCCTGAGCCAGATAGACAAGCCAGGAGAGAGCTTAAGACTGAGAGCAGCAGAGGGAGATGCTTGCTGGCTCGTGGAGCCAGAGACCTGAAGCCGAAGGGACAGAGAGGGCGGAAGGCTGGGAGAGAGGCATGGTGAGGGATGCCAGAGCCTGTGGTGAAGGACGCTGATTGATTTGATGTTGGGAATATGATTATGGGACTTGGGTTATGGGTTTTGTGCATGGGACTTTGGTAATTAACCCTGCAAGGGCTATGGTTGTACTCAAAGATAGTTTGGGCTATTCACTGGGGACTCTGAGAAAGGGGAAACTGAGGCAGATGTGCCTCTCATGCTGTGGCTTGCTGTAGAAGGGCACTCCAAGCAAGGTTACCGTGTGACACAGCTACTCATTTTGCTTAATCCATTACATATATTTATATCTCTATGTGTTTTCTATTTAAGTCTTTCAAGGCTCTAGTCTCAGCTGCCTCAACAGTGCCCAGAATTTGTCTGAGGAACTCAGTGGAAATACCCAGAATACGTCCGATGACCTTCACAGAAGTACTGTGATGATGCTGGGCAAATTAAGGGAACATTTTTGTGGGGAGTTAGAGAGTGGGAAAGCAGGTAACAGCCTCATGTGATATTCTCCTTCCTATGCATCACTGAAGCATGCAGAAACCTGTATCTTTATTGATAATAGTTCATAGTTTTATGACTGTAGGCATTTATAAAGCCCCAATCACTGTAGTATCTTGGTGCACTTTGAATAATTTAGAGCAGGTTTAGAAACATTTCCCCCTCTCCCCAAATAGACAGTAAATACACCATCGCCCTCTGCAGCACCAAACTGGCTACCCAAAAAGGACATGGGGTGGACCACCTAGTGGTCTGAATGGCATTCCCGCAACCTGCACTTACTATAAAGTCTGAACAGAGAGATGGATCTTACATCACACTTCAAATGGAGCCAGGGTCAGATCAGATATTTTTTCCAGCAGAGGCAAATTCCAGAGGTGAGGACTGGAACATCCTGTCTATGGTGCCCATGAGTAGCCCCGCTCAGGCAGGAGCATTCCTGCTGAGCATAGGTGCAATGACTGGACAGAGAGAGAGAGAGAGCTGCGGCCTAGAAACAGGGTCTTATAGGTGATGATCAGTGCTTTGATTATCACCTATCGATGACTTGGCACCTCGGGAAGAGAAAGGAGCATGGGTATAATAAACTGCTGTTGCTCTGCACCACTTAGAAAAAGCAGGCAGCTGCATTCCATGTTAGGTGAAGCATCTGGCTGGTTTTTAAGGGAGTCCCCAGGTAGTGTGTGTTCTTGCAGTCTAGCCTTGAGTAGACAAAGGCAGGGATTGCCATGTCAAGCTCCACATCTGAGAAGAAAGGATGGTCTGTGAAAGAGAGAGGGAGCTGGATAATGAGAGGAAAAAGGAGGGTGGAGATACTCCATTGATCTCTTTATAGGACTCTTTCTTTACCCTGTAGAACATGCCCAGTGTGAGTACTGCCCACTTGGATGGGTTCTGCACCATGGGAAATGCTACTATTTCTCGGAGAAGAAAAAAAACTGGAGTGATAGCAAGTGGTACTGCAGCTCACAGGCAGCCAGCCTCGCTGTGATTGACAATGAGGAGGAGAAGGTGAGAAAACACCTCGTTCACAGTTCTAATGGAGAAAGGGGGAGCGATCCAACAAAGGAACATAAGAAATACCATACCAGAAGGAAGTCAAATGTAGCTCACTTCCTGCCACAGAGGGTCAGACCATTGTATGGTCTGTATCAAGCTCCTGACACACCAGACATGACGAGGAGTCCATTTGTCCAGGGTCCTTTATCTACTGCACCACTACTGGATCAGATCAATGGTGCATCTAATCCATTATTCTCTCTCAGCTTTTGCCATAGTGGAACAAACCAAAGGCTCATCTAGCCCTGTATCGTGTTTCTGACATGGTCAATGCGAGATGCTGGTGGGATGTATATCCACAATGCCCTATTATTATACTGGGGGATGGTGGAATTGCTTCCTTGAAAGTCTGTCTTCTCTGATTTTTTCGCTGGGGTCCTGTTGTGACAACTGGTCTATAACTTTTCCCTGCTTAGAAAATTACCATGGAAAGTAGGCTAAGTTATTTTCAATTAAAAAAAATGTTATAAGCGGGTGCAAAAGAATCAGAGAGACTGGATTAGCCTAAACCAAAAAGACCACATTGATATAATCCAAGGACTGTTGAAATTATGCTTGTTAAAACATTATGTGGAGCCAGATATTAATGAATTAAAAGTGGTATGTCAGTTATTAGGCCTAATTGCTGAACAAAACAATGAGGGACGGACTATCCCACCCACCATTCCTTTTGTGAGTCCTTAAAGAAAAAGACTTCGGGGGAGGACTGAGTTTCACCATCATGGCTGCCACCCCCACCACCTCCTGGAATCTGTGGGCCTTCGTTATCCTCACCTGAGAGTATGCTTGCACAGGGATAAAAACCCACGGCTGACCTGGGGCAGCTGACTTGGGCTCGTGCTCCAGGGTTGACAAATGACTGTGTAGATGTTTGGGCTCAGTCTGAAGCCTAAGCTCTGGGACCCTGTGAGGGTGGACAGTCCCAGGGCACAGGCTCCAGCCTGAGCCCAAACATCTACAGAGTGATTTTTAGCCCCACAGGCCAAGCCCCACCAGTCTGAGGCAGCTTCCTGTGTGGGGAAGTGAGATTATGCCAATAAGGCCCCATGTCACTTCACAAGCTAACCAGAGTCCCTTCAAAGTATCCTACTTCTGTCTAAGGACAAAGTACAGTAATAGAGATCTTTCTATCCAAAGTATCCACTAACATCAGAGAATCCTGGAAAGGCCTTATTATTATTATTATTATTTTATTACTATTTTTAGGCTGCACTTAGTCCAGTGCCCGCACCCCACTAGCCAGTTCAGTATTGTTCCTTGCAAAATATGCTCACTGTTCTTTATCTAACTCATTTCTTTAGAAGTTTCTAGATATGGTGTTTTAACCACTTCCCCAGGGGACTATTATGTATTCACAAGGGAAAGTTTCAGAGTAGCAGCCGTGTTAATCTGTATCTGCAAAAAGAAAAGGAGTACTTGTGGCACCTTAGAGACTAACAAATTTATTTGAGCATAAGCTTTCGTGAGCTACAGCTCACTTCATCGGATGCGTCTCACGAAAGCTTATGCTCAAATAAATTTGTGAGTCTCTAAGGTGCCACAAGTCCTCCTTTTCTTTTTACAAGGGGAAGTGAATGTTGCACTCAATTAATATGGGCTCAGAAAGAATAGTCTTGCAGTTAACACGCAGGTCTGGGAGTCAGGAGACCTGGATTCCATTCCTACTCTTGTCACAAGCTTGTATGACTTTTCAAATAACCTAAACTCTTTGGGTCAAATTCACCTATGTTCAGAAGGTCAAAAACAGTGTCTAAGCACCACTTAGTGGCATTCATTGGCCTGCTCCACAGGGGTGAATTTCACTCTTTGTACCTTAATTTCCCCATTTTTAAAATGGGGTTAATAAGCCTTAGCTGATATTCATAAAGAGCTCTAGAATGGAAGGTGTCATGAAACTGCACATTATTATAATTTTATTTATGGATTATTTCCCATAAGAGCATTGGGACAACTGGTTACACGTTTTTCTTTCTTTTGCCTTAATTAATATTATCCTATCAATCTGAAACAGTTTTGGTCTTGTATCTTCCAGACCTTTATTATGAACAGGATGAAGATGGAAAAAGGCTACTATTGGGTTGGACTCAGTAAGGGGAAGGACGGATGGCTGTGGGTGACTGGTGCCGGGTTACCAGCAGAGAAGTATGTTGAATCCATTCCCTTTTATTATTATTAATTTTAAACTATTTGGATCAAATAAGGATTCTATTGTTTAAGCAATGTCCTTACTGCACTAAACGAAAAGATCACAGGACTGAAGAGACCCTTGGCCCATCTAGTCTGGTATCCTGTCTGTGGCAGACAGGGCCGTCCTTAGGATTTATGGGGCCCTATGCAGTATTTTTAAACTGGTGCCCTTATGCCCAACTGCAGCCGGGGTTCACATGTGTATTTTAGATAAGGGTGGTCTTTTGAAGGATTTATTTAAAAAATGATATGTATGACAATCCAAGCATTTAAGGCTAAAGATGAATACTCAGATTGTGCATCTAAAAATCTATGCAAGGATTTTTTAGAGATCTGATTTTATAATCTTCAGCAACACACTAATGAAATATTTTTCAAGCAAATTTTAAACTAAGGTCCTGTAGACTAACGTGTTCTGAATAAATATTACAGTAATGGACAATTGTTTTTTGTAAAACTGACAGTGTATACCTGGGGGTTGGCAAATGCCTGTTAAATGGCTTCCTTACCACTTGAAGAAAAGGGGTACTTGTGGCACCTTAGATACTAACCAATTTATTTGAGCATAAGCTTTCGTGAGCTACAGCTCACTTCATGGCTCTTTAACAGTTTCAGTGTGGTACTAATAGGTCTGGCAGACTGGAAGACTTTTTCACTTTTAAGTACTAGATCCCCTCCGGAGGAAGACTCACCAGGCTGCAGCAGCCAGCTGTGGTGGGAGCCTGCAGGAAGGGTCAAATTAGAACAGGGATAGGAAGTGGCGGGAGGGTGGACACTAAGACCCTAAGGACAGCCCTGGTGGCAGAAAGCAGTGCTTGATGCTTTTGAAGAAGGTGAAAGTCCCCCAGAATGCAATCCTATGTTCAACATTGCACAACTGGAGCAGGGGTCGGTGCATAGGAGAAATTCCTTCTGTCACACACAGGTGATCATTTCATGCCCTGAAACAAGATACTGAGCTACAACTACTGTTACTGCTCATGCAATTATGCTACCTCTTTTAAAACCAGCTACAGTAGTAGGCTCTCACCTCCTGCAGCAGTGAGTGCCACAGGTCAACTGTCTTGTGTAACAAAAATTCATTTTATCCATTTGTAATTTGCTGTGTTTTCCTGTGTTCTTGAGTTATTAGGGAAGGGGATGGCAATTAGGATTACCTGAGTGACCACCTCTACCATTCCTTTTGAGGAACACCTCTATTTAATTAATTAAATAGATCTGTTTTATACTGCTGCCCATCACTGTAGTATCTGGGGCCAGATTTTTAAAGGCATGTAGGTGCTTAAAGAAGTGGGTAGGCACCTAGTCAGAATTTCAAAAGTGCCTAGGCACCTACTTCTCATTGATGTGAATGAAATTGGGTGCATAGATGCCTAGTGGGATTTTCAGAAGCACCTATCTGCATCTTTAGGTGCCAAATACCTTTAGAAATCTGACCATCAGTGCCTTCCTTGTAAGACCTATACTAAGTGCAAAGTCCCTTGTGGACCTCATGGAGTTGTTGGCACTTCTCCCTTCTGGGGATTAAAACTTCTGGGGAATGGGTTTTGTTTTACATTTTGTTAATTTCCTATTTTTGGTTGGTCAGTAGGTGGGGGTTTAAGGAGTCAGTGTTTTGAGTGTCATTCTTACTGCAGAAAGGCTTTTTTAAAGAGGAAAGTTTTGCAGCATTTCCTTAAGACAGCCAGACTCTTGATTTGCCAGGTCTCCTCTGGAAAATTGTTCCACAGCCACATCCCGTTGGCTCAGAATACTTTGTGCCCAGCTGTCATGTGGGCAGTTCTGGGATTTGTCCCAGAGGTGGACAGCGATCTCAGCAGTTCATAGACCAAAATTTGATCTTCGATGGAAGCTAGGGCTTAATTCACTAATTGCTTTGAGAAATAGTAACCAAGGCCTTAAACTGACAGCTGACTAGAAGCCAGGGAGGGGCTTGAATACAGGCCTGATGTACTCACAACTGCCTAAACCATGGAGAGGGGAGGCAGCCACTTTCTGGACCAACTGCAGCCTGTGCATTTTTTTACATTCAGCTATAGATACAGTGAATTACAGTAACCCGGACTCGATGCGACAAATGCATGGATCACTATTGCCAGGTCCTCATCTGGAAGGAAGGAACTAGGTTTCCTAGCAAGCTAACAGTGAAAGAGGGCAGTTTCAGATACTAATGCTCCTTGGATCCAAGGAGCTGAGTAAGGAGTCCAGCCGGCCCCCGAGCTTTTTTACCACTTTGAAGAATGGGGGCTGTGTGCCTTCAGTAGAAGGTCATAACAATGTCTCATCTAGTTCTTCAAAGCATTTTCCCTCTCCAGCCAGCATCATTTGGGTCTTGCCTGCATTCAGCTTAAGCCAATTGCTCTTCATCCAAGAGCTGATCTCTTGTAGACATTTTGACATTTTAGTAGTGTCCATGGTTGCATCAGTTGATATTGCGTTCCCATCGTACTCTCGTCCATCTCAAGATTATGCCAGTTGGGATCAGTACTTTCTGCCCACTTATTATGTGTAGTATCATAGCACCTAGGAGCCCTAGTCACGGACCAGGGCCCCACAGTGCTAGCATTGGACAAACACTGAACAAAAAGGCGGTCCCTGCCCCATAGTGCTTACAGTCTTAAAATTCCTCCTGTAGTTTGACTTGAAAACAGGATTCTTCCTTTCCTTTCCTAACCTGTTGTGTAGAGGTGCTTGGGTTTGTTCTAGATAACCTGCAAAGAAAGCAACATATTGGGCCCTTGCCAAAAGTGGCCTGAAAGGGTTCCAGTTTTGTTTTGTATTTTATTTTAAATTTCCACCCCTACATTAGAAATTCAGGTCTTGTCTACCCTCTCTTAACTGAGAGACTCCATGGACAATGGGAGAACTAGTAGGTTTATGACATCACAAATACCAAAGGAGTGAAACTTGAATAACTGAGGTGAGGGCAGGGCAGAGCAGGAAATCCTTAGCCAGACTTTTTAAAACTGCTTGCTTCTGTTAATATCTATTTAATGCAAATGGTTGCGAGGAAAGCTCTCTTAGTGAAAGCTGTTAACATGCCCAACTGGCACATCACTGGAGTAAAATCTATTTCTCTGACACTCTCTTCCATTAGGCTTCATGTTACTGGCAGCAGCGACAGCCATAGCTGTGTTGTTTGTGGAGTGGACGAGATTCTGGCTGAGAGCTGTTTCAACCCCAACAAATGGGTCTGTGAGAAAGCCACCATGGAGTTTCCAACTGTGGAGAGGGTCTCACTGAATTGAAATCCCCTCCCTGGTCCCAACAAAAGCTTGGTAAAAATAGGGCAAGGAGCACTGTTACATCAAATGCAATACTTTGGGCACAATGTAAGGTTTGAGGCTAAAAGACTAAATAGGCCAGAGACTGAACTTCTCTTTTCCCTTGAGCTAGTCTCCCACAGGAGAATCCCTAAATGTGTATGTAATGCAGTGATTCCCAACCGGTGTGCGGTCAGGCCCAAACAGCTGTGCATGGAATTTTTTTAAAAATGACATGAGAACAAGTAGTTCTGATTGGCCACCTTCTGATTGGAAAGGCCGCCTTCTGATTGGCCATCTGCCTCACTGCCCCTCAACGTCCAGGGGCAGAGCAATGGGTCACCTCCTCTGCCCCTCCCCTTCCCTCCTGCAGCTGCCAGCCAGAGGTGAGGGGAAGAGCCCCTGGAGATCGAGGTATGCCAAGGCAGAGAAAAGGTTGGCAACCACTGATGTAATGTACAACGGAGAGAAAAAATAAAAAGTTAAAAAATCTTGACTGATGGTGGAACCTCTGCCAAAACCTAGCTACCCAAGCTAAGAGTCTTCAGGTTAATGTCTCCTACAGCATCTTTGTAGAACTATTGGTCTAGCCAACATCACATCCTTAATACTATATTTTCCCAAGCCCCTTTCCAAGCATCAGCAGCATTGGTAACCACCCAGGCACCATCCACCTCCCTGGCTTGTACAGGAAAATTGAATTGTATATTACATAATTTTTCTTCCCCCTCACAAGCTCCTTGGGGCACTATCTGTTTCTACCCATCCCCCCCCTTTGCAAGGCCTGCCAATAAACATTTCCCCTTTGTTTGAGCATAACTCCATTTAAATTTGCTGTGCAAGATCTCTAACTTTTTATTTGACTCAGATAGCCAAAGTACACAGGCTATTTGTTTCAGGGAGGTCTTGAGGTGAGATCTAAGAATCGGGAGCTAGAGATCTGGCTTCTCATCCTGGCTATGACACCGATTTCCTGTATAGCCTTGGGTCTCTCTCTGCCGTAGTTTCCTGATACCTGAAACTGGGATAATGATAACTAACATGGCTGCTACTCTGAAACCTGGGGTAATGATACTTCCCTACCTCACAGGAGTGTTGTGAGGCTTAAGTCAGACATGGCTGTGAAGCACTCAAATACTACAGTGATGAGTGCCATAGGAATGTCTATAAATAAACAGGCAACCATCTGTAATTAGACTGTGGAATCCATATAGCTCAACCTACAACAACCCAAAATGCGGGACATGAAAAAATCATTCATGCAGGAAGTTTAGAATGCTGTGGGATTTGTTCCTTTAGGGTAAATACCACTTTCTATAACCTCAGGTCAATGATTCTGTATTCCAGATATAAGCAATTTTTCAACCATGAAAATGGGGAGACACCAGGGCTTGAGTCGTGCCAGAATGTTCCAGAATGCCGTTCTGTCACTTTTTTTGTGATGAAGCTGAGTTTGGCAGAGCACTGGGGTCAGTTGCCTCTCACTAGCTCACTCCACCCCAAGCCAGGGGAAGGTGCTCTGGCCCACTGCTGGGATGCACTGGGGACTCGGCCAGAGATCCATGCTGCTGATAGATTGCCAATGCCAGCAGTGAGCCTGTGGGGGTGTCACAGGATGGTTTTTTCACATTTTCCCATGACAAACAGATTTCTAGAATCCCTGCATGAGACTCCTACTACTTCTATAGTGCAACCATCATTTAGAACAGCGGTTCTCAAACTGTGGGTTGGGACCCCAAAGTGGGTCGCCACCCCATTTTAATGGGGTCACTGGGGCTGGCATTAGACTTGCTTGCCAAAGAGCCCTGGTTGGTGGGGCTCAAGTTACAGATCCCAACCTGGGGCTTAAACTCTTGGCTTCTGCTTTGGCCCCCCACTCTGGGCAGTGGGACTCGGGCAGGTTCAGGCTTCAGTCCCCACTCCTGGGCTCATGTAATAATTTTTCTTGTCAGAAGGGGGTCGTAATGCAGTGAAGTTTGAGAACCCCTGATTTAGAAAAAAACAACAAAATAAATCCCATATTGTCTTTTAAATCTAGTGGATTTAGTCCAAACATTTTGATTGTATAAGCATTCTACCTTCTGTAAGGCTTACAATAGAAAAAGAGACGTTATTCACATGTAGAAAGACAGTTTATCTGATTCACAAGACACACAAATGTGCAGCTTCTAATTTGGGGTGAAAAGCACATTAGAGACAGATCATCTAGTCTGACTTTCTGTATATCACAGGCCACCAGCACCCACATACTAAACCCAACAACTGAAATTAGACTAAAGTATTATAGCCCACAGGAGTTTAAATTATTATGTGCCATAGGCAGAGAATAGGAGGGACTGAGGTGCACCACTGCCCAAAGTCCCCACAATCGTAGAGAAATGATGACATGAGATACAGTATACGCCTGTTTATCCGAAACCCTGTTATCCTAATATCTGCATTATCCCAATCCCTTCCTTGTTCCTCAGCCTGAGGTACATGCATCTCATGCTAGGGGACAAGGAAGGGATTGGGATAATGCAGAAGTCTGGATAACAGAGCAGAGACTCCCAGCCAGGACTGCGAGGAGGGGGAGTATCTGAAGTGGTGGTTTCAGGAACAGGGAATGCTCTGGCACTGAAGATGTACCTTATAGTCCCTCTCCACTGTGAAGCATGACTTGTTGTGGCGCAGGGCTGAAGCCAAAGTCAGAGCTCCACTGCCCAGGGCTGAAGCTGAAGCCTGAGGGCTTCAGTCCTGGGCAGTGGCAATCAGGTTTCAGCTTCAGCCCTGGGCGGTGGGGCTCAGATTATAGCCCCTTTGCCCAGGGCTGAAGCCCTCAAGCTTCGGCTTTGCCCTTCCCCTCGCCGCAGGGTGGCGGGGCTTGGGCTTTGGCCCCCCTGCCCGGGCAGTGGGGCTTGGGCTTTGATTCCCCCTTCCTGGGGTCATGTAGTATTTTTTGTTGTCAGAAGGTGTCGTGATGCAATGAAGTTTGAGCAACCCTAGTCTAAATAATAGTAGTATTAAGGAGAACCAAACAGTGCATATAGGAGTGTGACATGGAGGAGCACTGTCTGTGATAATCAGTAATCACATTTACTTCTGTCTTTGCTTACTGGATCCTGAACAACCCAAATGAAGTTAAAAAGGCAGAGAATGTGGCATTAGTAACACAAATGTCTCCCCCAGTTTCCACAAATCTTACTCAGATATGGCTTGTATTGTAATAATCATAATATCTAGCTCTTCTATAGTGTATGTGTCTAGTTTGTACTGGTACAAACAATCCTGCCATAACAGACAGTTTAAATAAGCATGGAAACATTAGTTTTACACACAGCTCATCTTTGGTATTTGCTTAGGGCAACAACTCCTTCCCCTCCTCCCTTCCTTCCCTCTCTCCCCCGTGACATTAACCACAAGGCAGCACATTTCCCATTCTCATTCCCCACCACAATGCTTTTGAGTCTGCACACACTGCAGCTTTTCCCTAACTCTAATACATTTTACAGTCACCGCCACTTGTGGCTCACATTTCAGTTCTTAATAGGCCCACTGTATAACAGACTGCTGGGGAAATGACAGTGGGAAAAGGCTACTGTAACCTACAGGAACAAGCCAAGCAGAAGCAGCTCCCTGAGGAAGTGAGGGAGATCACTGTCTGTGACAAGCTATCTGTGCGAAGAGAGGACGGTATGGGAGAGGGGATTAGGGAAATAAGGACACTTACTCTTGTTCAATCACTATATGCAAGGTAACGTATTTGCATATACACCTATGTACCAAAAAATCAGCTTTAAAACCAGGATGAGTGGCTGCAGCGCCAGATCCTCAGCTGGCCAGAGCTGCCAGATCCACATCTGGCCACCCCTTCTCTCTGCCCTCTCTGTCCCCTCAGGGGAATGCGGCTACCGCCCCATGGGAGCTGTAGGGCGCAGTGCAAGCCCAGAGCAGTGGGCAGCCGGGAGAGAGATGGGACTAGCTAGCGACCCCTGCCCGGTGCCTGCCCGTCAGAATTTGCAGCTGTGCTGGTGCTAAGCATACGCCTACTAACTGCTCAGCAGCACGGATGTGCTGAGCATGCTCAGTAACATCTGCTGAAGCCGCTGCCCTGACTCTGACCTCACAGTCACTTGGACAGACAATCTGCTCCCTGCTGCTCACAGGGGTTGGAAGGCTGGGAGCAGATTTGGGGAGCGGGGGTGGGCTGAGTTTGTGTTGGGGAAGTGGACCACCCAGGAGGGACAAACAGCTGGAGGCAGGGGGCAGAGAGGGGCTGAATCAGGGATGGGCGGAAGCAGGGGTTGGGCATGGGCACTGCCAGTCAGGGGGAGGGGGGTGACAGTTATCTCCAGTGGGGAGAGCCAGCTGTCACGGCTGCAAAAATAGGATGTGAGGGGCAGAGGGGCTCCCTCTTACCCCTCTCCCTGTAGGACGGTACCTCTCTTAGTACTCTCTTCCCAAGGCTGTGCTGTTAAAGGCCTAGGCAAGGCAGCTCTTCCCTATCTCACCTGATGCACTATTGAATCAGTGTGGAATAGTTTATGACCGTGCACTGCATCCCTCCACAAATTCTAATTATCATCCATGTTTTAGTGTTTAAAAGAATCCCTTCTCCATTTCTATGTCTGGATACGTCTGGCAGCTGTTCACAAAATTGTCTGAGCTGCTCTGGTTACCTGAATTGGGGTGTCTTTTTCTTGTAGTTCACTGTAAATGTTGTTTCACTCTGTCATAAATATAAAGGGAAGGGTAAACACCTTTAAAATCCCTCCTGGCCTTATTGGGATCCAGGAAGTGGGTGGGCGAAGCTCTTTCACCTGTAAAGGGTTAAGAAGCTGGAATAACCTTGCTGGCACCTGACCAAAACGACCAATGAGGAGACAAGATACTTTCAAAGCTGGAGGGGGGAGAAGCAAAGGTTCTTTCTGTCTGTGTGTTGTTTTGCCAGGAACAGAAAAGGAATGGAGTCTTAGAACTTAGTAAGTAATCTAGCTAGATATGCGTTAGATTCTGATTCCTTTAAATGGCTGAGAAAATAAGCTGTGCTGAATGGAATGTATATTCCTGTTTTTGTGTCTTTTTGTAACTTAAGGTTTTGCCTAGAGGGATTCTCTATGTTTTGAATCTGATTACCCTGTAAGGTATTTACCATCCTGATTTTACAGAGGTGATTCTTTTTACTTTTTCTTCAATTAAAAGTCCTCTTTTAAGAACTTGATTACTTTTTCATTGTTCTTAAGATCCAAGGGTTTGGGTCTGTGTTCACCTATGCACATTGGTGAGGATTTTTATCAAGCCTTCCCCAGGAAAGGGGGTGTAGGATTTGGGGAGGATTTTGGGGGGAAAGACGTTTCCAAGCGGGCTCTTTCCCTGTTATATATTTGTTAGACGCTTGGTGGTGGCAGCAATAAAGTCCAAGGGCAAAAGGTAAAATAGTTCGTACTTTGGGGAAGTTTTAACCTAAGCTGGTAAAAATAAGTTTAGGGGGTTTTCATGCAGGTCCCCACATCTGTACCCTAGAGTTCAGAGTGGGGAAGGAACCTTGACACATTCCTTTACATTATTTGCTTTTCAAAATGTTATTTTTTATTTCTTTTAGCACTTCATCATTAACATTGTGCAGATGGATGTCTTGCTATTGAATTGATATTTTAATAGCAAATAATCATTGAAAATATTGATCGTTGCTAGTAGCTTCAGCAATCACATCTCCCAGTGTTTCTAGTGCAATGCGTCCTGTTTGTACTGCAACATTAGTTTTTTATTCTAAATTTTTGTTCTTTTTTTTTTTTAAATCACGAGTTTATTCTTTGGGATCACGTGACTTTAAGGCTGACTGATTTTCTGGTTTCGTGTAAAAATTTCTTCCGTTTCCTTTGACCCACCAATGGGATTGCCTTTGTCAACCGTTATTTTGCCTCTTTATCCAGGACCCTAGTGCTAATTTTCACACAATCACTTATGTGTAGAACTTGGTTCCCAAATATTCACCACAGGCCAGATTTTTAATGGGTGAAAACACCTAGGTGCTTTTGAAAATCCCACTAGTTGCCTAAATACCTTTAAAAATCTGGGGCAAAGGGCATAGGTGCTGGAACTAGGGGTGCTGCGGGTACTGTGGCACCCCCTGACTTGAAGTGTTTTCCATCATATCCAGGGTTTACAGTGTGGTTCAATGGCTCTTAGCACCCCCACTATACAAATTGTTCCAGCACCCCTGCCAAAGGGCGCTATACTATCTTGTATGAAATCCTTCTCAAAGGCAAATTTCTACTGTAATTTTTATTGAATATAGGTATACAACCCTGCAATAGATTGATAACCACCAGTATTCAAAAATCATGAATTTGACACCTGAAAGTCATGAAATTAAAATAAATAAATAAATGAATACATTGGGGGGATCTTTTAATTTGTCTTTTTGTTTCTGAGACTTTAGGGTGCATTAGCTTCATACTTTTGCTTCAGTGGGGACTTAGACACCAAACTCTGTGAGGTGGTGGGGCTTAGCACACACCTCTCTAGGCAGCATCTCCAATTGGCTGGCTTAGGCAGCTCCCCACCTAGAGTGTTGGCTTTTGTGGATCCAACTCTGAGGTCTCTCTCTCTCTCTCTCTCTCCCCATTCATTGTATAGGGAGCTTAGGTACCTAACTCATGATTTGT